CAGTTTAAACAGAACCGTCATTGAATACTTAATGTAAATAAATACATTTTCCATAAAATAAGTTACGAAAACATACACTATACTGTGTATATAAAAGATATATACACATGGAAAAAGTATCGCAACACCTATGAATGTAACCCCTGTATAGCCATTTATATTCCTGTATAGCCATATATATCATAAGTATGATTGTATCCGACACATATCGCATAGCAAGCGGTGACATCTGACGGCCAACGGACTGCAAAATGAGGGTCAGCCGACACTCACTCCACAGAGTTTCATCGGACACTACATCACCAAGATCCTGAAGATGGGTCCAAGAATGAACAGGAATGTCGAGGACAGAAGGCAAAGAAGCGACCTCCCATTCTCCTGGTATGATGTTGTGGTTGGCATCCTCTGTATCCAGCTGACCATGGCGCATGGATGGGAGCCGTATTCAGATCAGGTTGCTGAGGCAGACACAGGTTTCTATGATGTTACTCACAACGTCAGGTTGTTGCTGTAATGTTCCTGAAAGACACTGGAATCTGGCTGCCAGTATTCTGAAAGCGTTCTCCACGACTCTTCGGGCTCTTCTTATGCGATAGCTATATATCCGCTCTGTAAGAGTCAAGTTCTTTCTCGAGTAGGGCTTCCATCATGTGGGTTCGCAAAGCAAAGGCTTCATCGCCGATCATGAAGTAAGGCATGTTCTGGTTGTCATGGGTCATTGGCTCAGGTGGGGGAATCCTATTTGACCACTCTCTACTGTCTCTTTGAGCTCAGATGCTCTGTATATCTATGCGTCAGACACTGTGTCCTTGACCACTGGTGTCTATCAACAAGAACCGTTAGTTCGCATCAACAAGTGCCGTGAGTGAGTGAGTTTAGTTTTACGCCGCAATATTCCAGCTATATGGCGGGGGTCTGTAAATAATCGAGTCTGAACCAGACAACCCAGTGATCAACAGCATGAGCATCGATCTGCGCAATTGGGAACCGATGATATGAGTCAACCAAGTCAGCGAGCCTGACCACCGATCCCGTTAGTCGCCTCTTACGGCAAGCATTGGTTACTGAAGATCAATATTCTAACCCGGATCTTCACGAGCCACAAGTGCCATAAGGACCACTGAGAAGAACTGTATGGTAGAGACTGCCTGCTTTCTTCAGTTTCCTGAGTGTCACGTGCTTGCCATCAAGTGCCCCCATTACATGTGGATCGTTCCAATGCCTTTCGTATTCTTCAGCAATTGCATGCCATTCTTGTTCACACTGGACACTGGATCACTTCCTCAGCATACTCATCCACTATGGCTTGACAGACTTCGGGGATAAACTTGCAAATGGTTTCTCGAGCAACCCTGAAGCTGTATGATAGTGATGGATACCGATCGCCAGCTGCAAGGTGCCTTAGGGTGCAGGCTAACTTGAGACCAGGTTCAAGGGCTCTCCTGGAATTGGTATCTCTTGGTGCAAGTCTCTGGAGTAGTTCATCAAAAGATTCTGGCGTAACTCTTAAGAAATTGAAGAATGCCGTTGTATCCTCCATTCTCAGTTCATTCATGAGTCTGGTGTAGTGCCCATATAACATTCTTCTATCAGCTTGCAGCCATGGTCGAACCCAACAACGACGTGGTCTTCTATGCCTTCCTATCAGGGCCTCAAGGGTCACTGCATCTTGTTGCTGCAGCATAAAAAAACAAAGCCCAGGGCTGTAGCTTGCGATGAAGTTGATCCATGACAAGTACCGTCAGGAGGTGCAGCCCGCTTTTCTACTCGACTGCCGATTTTGGCGACAAATCCGACCAGTATTGGGTCAGTGTCCGATTACCCTACGAATAGTAACCGATTTGTCGGACTGGTGTCGGGAGAGTGTTGGAAGTGTCAGATTAGTGTCAGGTCACCCTCGAATTACAATCCGACCGTCTTCCACATGCACTGTTGTGTTTGGACGTTTGAATCAAACATGGCGCTGGTGTGTTTCAGCACCCGTGTTTTTCGCAGTTTTGACAGTGTGTCATTTCACTCAAACTCAACGAATATTGAATCAGTTGCTTTCTAGCATATTACAACATGTCGTTTAAAGTGCCCATTAAGCACACAAAAAGTTGCATTTACCTTAGAGTATAAAATACTTCACCACGTTTAAGTTTACATATGGCTAGGGTGTTCCCATACATTTTGTTTGTAGTATAGCCTTGAGTGTAATACTCTTCTGTTCTGTTTTGTTCTTTTCTTTTCTCTTCTGCCGACTGTGGACAGATGTCGTGTTTACAGACGTCGTGGCGGGGAATGCTCGAAACTGCTCACATAAAGAGGACAGATTTGTTGACGGGAGTGTTATATGATGTTTGAAAATGTAATACAAAAGTCATTTTTCAACACCACAACGCCCGACCTCACACAACAAGTCTGACAATGGCCTTTTTGAAGAAAAGCTCACAACTTCCATGTACCGCCATGACACACAAGGTTACCAGATCTAAACCTCATCGAACATTTATGGGATATTCAGAATCTCAACCCGTTGGCACCTGTTCTGGGGGAAGAGCTGGCGTATATTTCCCACGCCACAATTCGCAATCTGATTCGTTCCATGGGTTGACGATTCAAGGCAGTTCTGGAAGCTCATGGGTGACATACAAGGTGAGGTAAAATGGGGTTTAACGCCGACCAGCCCCTGTTTTACCCATTAATTCCCAGCGCCAGGCAGGGAACAGCAAGTACCCTATTTTAACGTATTTTGGTATGACCCGCTATCTTCCGCTCCCCTGGCGGACGCTCTAACCACTACACCACGGAGGCGGCCTAAGGGACATACAAGATATTGAGAAGAGATGACTTTGACCTTGACATTGTTTCATGTGTTCCATGTTGAACTCAGTCAACGACAATGATTTGTGATAAATGTGAAACATACATCTGAAAACCACGTTTGCGTTATTTTTTGTAAAGTATACGTCAATTACTATTTTGTATTAGAGTTCAAAGCTGTAAACATTCGACACAGTAATAAAGCGTACAACTTTATGGATAATAGCTTTTTAAATATCCTCCATTTCAACATCCATAAAGTCGTATGCTTTGTTATTGACTCGTCAACTTCTAGATTGCCTTTCAAACAAATCAACAAAGATCAGAAAAAGTACCACAAAATCCCCATTTCAGATCTTAACCATTATTCTCAGTAAATCAAGGACGGGCTTTCTTTGTATTCACAGAATGTAATTGAGACAAGTGGAATTAATACTCTCCCTTCTCAACAAGTGAGTGTTGACCTTAGACACAGTTACAGATCTATCTACAGAGGTTAAGGACTATTTGAGAGAGATGAAAGGAACATGCCATGCGAGGTGTACGGACAAAATGCTAAATGTCTCACTTCTGAACCTGATCTGATGCACATATGAATCACGATTCCTCCTCGGTTTGGTAAAACAAGGCAATTTGGCCAAGACGTTTAACTTACAGTTCAGATGTATCTATGATCTATATCATTCAATAACCATCAAATAGCTAGTTCCCTTCCACTCATTTGGGAGAGCCGTGAGACCGCGTCAGCTGCTTCTTATTTGTATCTTTGCAGAGGTTCAGAGTGTGAAAAGGATATATGACAAGAGGGATTCCAATAGTCAACTTCTCCTTTATATCGAGTAATGTTAAGTTAGCTCCAGCCATTGGTTTAACAATTTTTTAGTTACAATCATTGAAGATTTCTAAGAGACTCATGCTTAGATTTGGTTGGTTGGTTTGTTGTTTAATGTCGCACTCAACAATATTCTAGCTATACGCAATTGGGATACGACCAAGTCAGGGAGCCTGACCATCCGATCATGTTAGTCGCCTCTTACGGGTTACTGAAGACCAATTCTAACCTGGATCTTCACAGGATCATGCTTAGAAATTTGCTTGATGAAGGATAAAACATTCAAAAATTCGAGGTCAAGTCAAGCTTCAAAAGGGAGAGACATAGTTAGAAACAGGGACAGACTGACATGGAGAGAGACAAGTTAGTGCAAAACTTGACCGTGACGTTAAACCCGCTATTACCTCAACACTCTATTGAAAAGAAGAAAAACGTACACAAAACTTCCGAATTTCTGGATTATCTCATATATAACTGATAATGATTAATTTATTTGTTTTATATATTTCATATTTATAACCCCCAACCCCAGCAATAATGAAGCACCACCGGAATCCAAGGGCAGTTTTTACAATTTTGAACCAAATAGGCGATCACATCCCAGCATACTGAAAGGCATATAAAAACGTCATGTCGCAAAGTCGAAGGTAACTGTAACGTTATCCACAAGGTTATTATTCGACCTGTGAGACAACGGGTGAAGTAAAGACAGAGTTAGACGAGTGATCCCAAGGCGAGAACCTGCGCCGGCAGTGGATAGTTGGAGCCCGGGTCTCAACCAATACAGTCAGAAGGATGGGGGCGGTGGGGTGGCCTAGTGGTTAAAATGTTCGTTCGTCATGCCGAAGAGCAAGGGTCGATTCCCCACATGGGTACGATGTGTGAAGCCCATTTCTGGAGTCCCCAAAAATTGATGGAATATTGCTAAAAGCGGCGTAAAACTAAAATCACTCACTCAGGAGGAGGGTGCTGGTCGGATGGAGTTTTGTTTTCAAAGGGTTTACAACAACATGAAGTATATTCGTACTTATTGTATAAAAAGTTGGTGATGGTTGATTAAGGTCCATGTCTATAATAATGCGAATGCCATTCCTTTGGACCAGTTCATAACAAACGATGATCCTTGTACATTTTCTAATACGCAAGCATACTTGAAATGTTTGTCAAAGATAGCATTGTGCAGTATATTTGTGTATCCAGGGTTAACGTTTGTTAATAAATATTTAGTTCCCGTTAATATTTAAGAATATACAATATCAATGTAACATTCAAAGTTTCAGAAATAGTCAGAAAATCGTTTACAATTTAGGACATCGTATCACGGCATGGAGGCAAACAGTATAACAGATCCAAATATACTTACAAGGTGCTACAGGATATACCAGAAGTACGAGCACAGGTACGACTCCACACCTCCCCATACTTCTCCTCGTTGTCTTCTGTAGCAGTATATACCCTGAACTGACTAGATACAAAAGCTGTTAACTGATTATTGTGAGATCGATCAATACTTGCTCTAACTTGCCAATATGCCTGCCTTTATACGTGCCTCTATCTGTATCTCACGTCCTTTCTTTATTGATCAAGGTGTCGTTGTACAAAACACCCTTAGCGATACGACAGTCGTAAGTCTATGTTAAGGTTTGGGAGTTACGATCACCTTAGAGCTACAACAGTCGTAAGCCTATGTTAGGGTTTGGGACTTACGATCACCATAGAGCTACGACAGTCGTAAGCCTATGTTAGGGTTTGGGACTTACGATCACCATAGAGCTACGACAGTCGTAAGTCTATGTTAGGGTTTGGGACTTACGATCACCTTAGAGCTACGACAGTCGTAAGCCTATGTTAGGGTTTGGGAGTTACGATCACCTTAGAGCTACTGTAACAACAGTCGTAAGCCTATGTTAGGGTTTGGGAGTTACGATCACCTTAGAGCTACTGTAACAACAGTCGTAAGCCTATGTTAGGGTTTGGGAGTTACGATCACCTTAGAGCTACAACAGTCGTAAGCCTATGTTAGGGTTTGGGACTTACGATCACCTTAGAGCTACGACAGTCGTAAAACTATGTTAGGGTTTGGGACTTACGATCACCTTAGAGCTACGACAGTCGTAAGATCTATGTTAGGGTTTGGGACTTACGATCACCTTAGAGCTACGACAGTCGTAAGTCTATGTTAGGGTTTGGGACTTACGATCACCTTAGAGCTACGACAGTCGTAAGTCTATGTTAGGGTTTGGGACTTACGATCACCTTAGAGCTACGACAGTCGTAAGCCTATGTTAGGGTTTGGGAGTTACGATCACCTTAGAGCTACTGTAACAACAGTCGTAAGCCTATGTTAGGGTTTGGGAGTTACGATCACCTTAGAGCTACAACAGTCGTAAGCCTATGTTAGGGTTTGGGAGTTACGTTCACCTTAGTGCTACGACAGTCGTAAGTCTATGTGAAGGCATGGGAGTTACGATCACCTTAACCCTAAGATCGCTTTGTAAAACGGCACCCTTGAGTGGTGAGATAGGTCGTAGATCATATCGTAGATCGATGTTCATGCTGTTGATCACTGGATTGTCTGGTCCAGACTCGATTATTTTCAGACCGCTGTCATATAGCTGGAATATTGCTAAATGCGGCGTTAAACAACCAGCCAATCTCATATTTCTCAGTGGGGGTGAGGTGAAGTGAGATGCACCTGGTGTCACTATTGACTTTCTGTAATTCATTTACACAATGTTCGCGTCCGTTTTGTCTTTTCGCTTCAATAATAACATTTGCATCGGGTTCACTCTAATTCCTACAATCTTATTAGCTGAACTGTTCTGACATCATGCGGGGCGTTGGGGTAGCCTTGAGGTTTAAGTGTTCGCTCGTCACGCCGAAGAGCCGGGTTCCATTCCCCACTTGGGTACACTGTGTACTATTTCTGGTGTCCGCTGCCGTGATATTGCTGGAACATTGCTAACGGCTGCTTAAAAACCATACTCACTCACTCACTCAGATGTCATGCTTTCGTTTCCCAATGAACGAAACAATACGTCAACTGATGCAGGTTACTTAAACCTGCTCACCTACATCATTTGGAACACTGCATTTTAGCGATATTCATGCATATACCAATGAAATAGCAATTTTGTATCACTCATTCCAGTTAACTGGGACCATTGGGGTCTACAACTGTGAAAAAATAAAGTCAATGAAATTTGCTACGCGGTCATATTTTCAGTTAGTACCCTATCTAAACTAATTTTCTGCAAATATTCACACTCAGGCACGACCAGATTTCTCAATGTTTGTCCACAAATATATGACCACCAATTCCGTGTTGTATTTTACGTTACAGTATCCCTATATGCTTACGATCTATTTATTCCACTTGAATTGCGTGATACGCTCAGGCGTTCGTAGATCAAAATTGTATCTAAATCCATCGAACTATGGAAGAGAATTAATTTGCTTCAAATCTGATATATAAATAAATAGAGTAATTAACATTGTGAACTGCTTATTTAGCTGTTTGATGATATCAGTAAAATATTTAACCAACAACACTAATCAAAAATGGAAATATCAGTTGATAGTTTTCTGCCCGAGTGCGAAACTGCAAAGCTTGTTGATGACAAACAATCGACAATAGCACAAATATTTCTGATATTCTGATATTATTCGTCTGTAATGTAAATTACTACTATTAATATATTTCAATAATGACATCCACTTTTGATAACAATTAAACTTTATTTCAGCAAGAAAACTTATAATCAATCTGTAACAATTTTCTTTTAATAAAAACGACACAAAATCGTCAACTATCACAACTATATCTCCATTTTGAGATACAAATGTATGCTACTTCCATTTTTGTTTTGTTTTTCTCTGTATAATCATGTTACGTTTGGGCAGCAGTTTTAGCCATTGTATCTGAAATGAAATCCACTTGACATTGTTACATACGTTTCATCAATGGTATGACAGCGGTTTTTACCATATTAATTCAACCATTCTGGAAACGCCTGAATATCTCAGGGGTAATGAATAATTTACGTTATGATAATGATGTGCTTACCAACACTCGTGAATGCACACTATTGAATTAATTAATAATTTCGATGGATTATTTCAGCCACAACCCCCTTCACAAAAGAATTTCAAATAAAACTCAAACATATTGATACTATCTGAAACTGCTCCATACTTTTGTTAATTTACATCTCATCAATTAGAAGTTTATTTCAACATTCAATAATATAACCCTGTCACAATCCATGCAACAAATGGAATATTTCGATGCCTAATAACATTTTCTAACACTAAAAGAATTGAAAATATCGAGCATAAAAAACTAACATCGTTAAGCATTCATCGACGTAATTTACGTTACCGCAATGTAATTGACGTTACTTATACATAAAGGGCGATAACTACCTAAATCTACATTCACTTGTTAAAGCTTGATTCACATTGTTGATATTTCGACAATACCAGACAACAAAACACAATAGTTTCGCGAAACTTTCCAAATTTCCAAATATGGCGGTATTGTAAACTACAGTAACGTAAATTAGTTCTGGTAATCAATAATGTTATGGCAAGATGAATAAATACAGAATGCTTATATATTGGGGCACATGTATAAACAAGAGACCGCCGGGCCCCAAATGTACAGTGAAGAATACTGGGATGCTCGATTTTGACTTATAACGGTAATTTATGATTACTTGCTAAAAAAATCACTGATGTCGAGCATATTTTTCCATATAGTAAGAAAAATCAATGTCAACGAAACTACATGTTTTTACATATCGAGAATAGATGAATAGGCCAATCAAGAAAAGTTATCGTGTGTGGTCTGTGCGATAATTTACCACAAGAAAAGCTGTAAACAAACACAACGTAACAGCAAATTATCAGCAAATAATCTAAAAGTGAGTTTTGTGTTTTGCTTGGTGAACCATCGACATGCTACCATGGGCAAATTAACCCGTATGTATTTTGGTTCTTTCATGACACTAAATATAACAAAATTTCCGTTGGATAAACTTTGCAGCAAGCTAAAATGCAAAGAATACGCACTACCGACATAGCAAAAATGCCGACATAGAACCAAATGACGCTGCAATATGACTTGGTGCAATCTTTTTGAAGTTTGATACTGATTGTAAACAGTATTATTTAGAATATCTGCACAGATTCATCTCGATTTAATATCAAATTTGAAATCACCGACAGCCAAAAATGTCGGCGACAGCAATGGTCCCAGTTAACAGAGAATGAGTGCATACGTGCTCGCCTGCCTTGTCTTTGTTCCACACCTTTGTCCTTATTTTCTAATTCGCCTTTTCCGACTTTGTTATCCTTCACAGGCAACTTATGTTTGAATCTGGTTGTTACTGACCAAGTCATTTAAACCAGCCGTCTTCTCCTCGCCATATTTTTTACGGTGGGCTAAAATCTGACATGTTTTCTAAGTGTTCTCTGAAACAAAGTTGTTTCACGGATTGATACATTCTCTATATTATAAACGATCTTTTTTTCATAATCGGTAGAATACAATTGATAACAGCTTGTTTGTGGCGGTAAATTTTAAGAGGATGATTGTAGTGTAAAATCTTTGTCCCTCGAACAGGGACAAAGATTTTACACTACAATCATCCTCTAAACATGGAATAAAAATATTTCCTTATCGGTCCAGGCATGGCCAAGTCTCTGTATCAATGTCGTTATATGTTGAATATATCAGGTGGTGTAATCTGTACAAAGAAATTTGCGAAGATCATGTTTGTAAACAATACTGAGATCTTGAATCAGACGTGCCATACCACAGGAATGAGGGTTACCTACACTTTGTTACAGACCCGAGTGAAAAATGAAACATTTCCTTAGAGTGATTGAGTTAAAGTTTATCGTCAAATGGGCAACATTTCAGACATATCATGACGAGAGAAAATTATTAGTCAATAACAATAATATGCAAGATATTTTAAGTCCTTTATAAGAGACTGCCTAATGCTGCAAAGTTGACTTACATTTTTCTTATTGAACTTACAAAGAGTAACTAAAAACGATATTCGAAAATCATTTTCTATTACGTCAACCGCAGACTCTGAATTTCCTGTCTCTAACATGGTAAAGTATGTGTCAAACAGCTTTTACTATAATCTCAGCTGCATTCTGATTTTAATTACATAAGTATCAGCAATGCCATCAGGATCATGATGATGTTCGGTGTCAACAGATACACCCTGTGAATCCACCTTGCTTAGTGCTTGAAGGGTGCCTCGCCTCAGCAGATACACCTTGTGAATCAGCCTTTCTTGGTGCTTGAAGGGTGCCTCGCCTCAGCAGATACACCTTGTGAATCCACCTTGCTTAGTGCTTGAAGGGTGCTTCGCCTCAGCAGATACACCCTTGTGAATCAGCCTTTCTTGGTGCTTGAAGGGTGCCTCGCCTCAGCAGATACACCTTGTGAATCCGCCTTTCTTGGTACTTGAAGGGTGCCTCGCCTCAGCAGATAAACCTTGTGAATCAGCCTTTCTTGGTGCTTGAAGGGTGCCTCGCCTCAGCAGATACACCTTGTGAATCCACCTTTCTTGGTGCTTGAAGGGTGCCTCGCCTCAGCAGATACACCTTGTGAATCAGCCTTTCTTGGTGCTTGAAGGGTGCCTCGCCTCAGCAGATACACCTTGTGAATCCACCTTTCTTGGTGCTTGAAGGGTGCCTCGCCTCAGCAGATACACCTTGTGAATCAGCCTTTCTTGGTGCTTGAAGGGTGCCTCGCCTCAGCAGATACACCTTGTGAATCAGCCTTTCTTGGTGCTTGAAGGGTGCCTCGCCTCAGCAGATACACCTTGTGAATCAGCCTTTCTTGGTGCTTGAAGGGTGCCTCGCCTCAGCAGATACACCTTGTGAATCCACCTTGCTTAGTGCTTGAAGGGTGCCTCGCCTCAGCAGATACACCTTGTGAATCAGCCTTTCTTGGTGCTTGAAGGGTGCCTCGCCTCAGCAGATACACCTTGTGAATCCGCCTTTCTTGGTACTTGAAGGGTTCCTCGCCTCAGCAGATACACCTTGTGAATCCACCTTTCTTGGTGCTTGAAGGGTGCCTCGCCTCAGCAGATACACCTTGTGAATCAGCCTTTCTTGGTGCTTGAAGGGTGCCTCGCCTCAGCAGATACACCTTGTGAATCAGCCTTTCTTGGTGCTTGAAGGGTGCCTCGCCTCAGCAGATACACCTTGTGAATCCCGCTTTGCACAAGATGTTATTCTTTATGAAATACCGGTGTGATAAGAACACTCACGTCTGAAGTGAGTAATCTAGAAACAAATCCCACTCTCTGAATTATTGAACAAAAGAGGTGGCCAACGGCAGCGGGCAAAGCACGAGTCACTGGGTACCAGGCTGCGACCGATCTCCCTTGGCGACGTGTCCACGTGTTGTAAAGGATTTTACGGGTGCGTTTTGGTTTGAGCTTGCGAACTGCTTTGAACTCGGACACATAATTCTGGACAGTTTTCCATGCTTCATCCGATGAATGGAATAATATTATGTGATTCGTTTATATATAAACTTAGTCTCGTGGCGATGTGGCCAACATAACGCCAATGCGTCTGTAAACGTAACTGACCCACTCCGGAGAATCGTCAATTTTTATCAACTTAACATTGTAGACGCTCTATCCCCAATGCTACCAAAGTTATCGCATCACCACATCCACAGCCTTAATAGTTTCACTGTTAAGTTAAACTGAATCTTCGTCACCTTTTGGGGCCATGTCTTACCTGTCGTCACCAGCACGGCGTGAATATTGTTATTCATGTTTATAGAACCACAACGCTTTTACATAGAACAATATACTTATCATCATCAAAAATGATGATGATGATGAATATACTTATCATATTGATGGCCTGCCTACATCACGCAATAATCATAGTTTCAATGTGACCTTCGTGGCCAAAAGTGTGTTATTATTCCATGTATGAAAAAGTATATATCCGAAAGAAATACCACACCGAACAACGCTCCAATCAGTGCTATTGCGACATACGCAATGCCATGAGATGATTTTCTTTCGTCTGGAAGGCTCTCTTTTTTAATTATATAGGACGTTAGAGTTTTCGTTTCTAAAGTTAGGTTTTTGGAGATTTCAGCAACAATGTCTTCTTGTTTTCTGGGTACTGGGTTGATGCATCGACAGATACATTTTTCGGTACGTGTTCTTCCGTATTTATCAACTGGTATCTGTGTCGACGTAGATGAAGACGTCGTGGACGGTAACTGTACCTCTGTGAAAAAACAGTGGCTCATATGTGAGACGTATAGATATAATATCGTATTCTGTTGTACCACTGACTACGAGGGGCGTTCAATATATTTTGGAACTTCAATATAAGACTAAGTCGCAGAAAAATTGTTACACGTGTATTTTTAGTATGATCTCTTTTTACCTCAGTACCCTTATTCCACTTGTCCATGATTGTGACCACCCTTTGGTAAATGAAGCCACCATAACTAACCTATTGTTGTGTCTAGAACTTGTTATGACACGTGTCAAACTGATGTTATGACTAATGTCACACCTGACACAAGTTGACATCGTTTGTGTAAACACGTGCACAAATGCTCAAGTTGCAAAACGTATCGAACGCCCCTCGTAATATAATGCAAGAATCTTTGAACGGCATTTAGAATTGATACACATATATGCGAGAATTTATGGATGTCAATAAATAAAGAAGCTGACATCTACTACTCACACTTTGCTAAGGATCACAAAAATTCACAACTTTACTTAAACGTAGATTTATAATTTGAAATTCTATCCATTTAAAACTGGATGAATAATAATATGGCAAACAGTCACATTAATCAAACCATATGGACTTGATACATGAGTAGCCATCAAAATGTTTATCATGGCACCAATCAACCAATCAATCCATGATTTGGTCCTTAGCAAAGTGTGAATAGTATATATACACTCTCGTCTTCATAATGCAAGAACATTTGCAGCCGTTGAAACCGAACGACTATGACAAGGTATTATACCGAAGGGGATCGGGGTGACACGGCGGTGAGGGGGTATTTCAGGGGTGTACACTTTCATTTTGCAGACACCTTACCCCTTACATGTCCACTGTCTTAAACCCACCCCTACCACAAAACCCAGATATTATGTTTCTAAATCCGGTGTCTCCCGCCGCGATATCGCAGGAATATTGCTAAAAGCGGCATGAAATTCAACTCACTCACATAAAGTTTGACTCACTCACTGATAAGCTTCTCTGACCTGCATCACCTCTCAAGCCAAGTTGACGCGCCATGATGTATCTTGAGAGCTTTTCAAAGTGGCGTTAAACATGATTCACTCACTGCATTGTGAGTGCATTGTGCGCACGTCAAAGATTACTGAACAACCGGGTTTCATAAAAGATATTAGATAAAACAAAACAAAAATGAAAGGACAATGCAGGTTTCACACCTGTCCACAATAGAAGTGACTAAACCCCAACCATTATTTTAAGAAATATCCACTGAGAGCCTTCTCCATTGTACGATTCTGAATGACCTCTTACCTTTACACATAAATGAAGGGACTTCCCAAGTCCCGTTCAGTTGGCAGATAACGGATGCAGACCCCGATGCTGTAAATCCATCGTGGCAAGCATACTGCGCAGAGCTGTTCACCCAGGTGCCCGAAATTGTTACAGTGGCGTTGAGAACGGATGGGGGACTTCCGCAATTGACTTTTAGACGCAAAAAAAGGAAAGAAAAACTTTGACATTTCGTTGATATTTACATCCAAACTGCTGATCAATATTTGCGGTCATATAATACTGGTACGGGTGACTGTGCATTTATTACCAAGCGAAATAAGATAAATTAATATTACATGATCAGATACATATGTCAGTATTGGGGTGTACGAAATGTGTCTGTATACATATGAGTTCTTCCGTGTCCAGCATTTAACTCTCGGTACAGTAAATCGAAACCCAATCATTGCAAATGATGACGTGAAAACGTGAAGACTTCACGTCAAATTATTCACGTCAAAAAAGTATTTTTCACTAGCACATGTCGTGACTGGCTAGAATTAGATGGATTTAGAATTCCTCAGTGGATTTTCCGAAACTTTGAGTATTAACATCACTGGAATTATAGTTCCACATTGTAACAATGAATATTCTCACCAAGACACGAAATGTCTGATTTTGTCCAGTTTCCATCTGATTGACACGTGATCTATGTTGAGCCTGAGGCATGCGCCGTGCCGTACACTTAAACACGCACGCACGCACACACACACACACACACATACATGCGTGCGTGCGTGCTTAAGTGCATGCACACATATATACATACACACACACACACACACACACACATACATACATACATACATTTAAACACGCACGCACGCACGCACGCACGCACAAACATACGTACATCAAACTTGTTACACACACACACACATACACATTCATACATGGAAATATTATTTGATTTACATCAGTTCCAAAGAGTTAACCTTAGAATATTCTCACCAAGACACGAAGTATCTGAGTTTGTCCAATTTCCATCTGACTGACACGTGACCTGTGTAGAGTCTGACGCATGCGCAGTGCCGTCAACGCATGTGTACTCTGCGGTGCTATTGACCAGCGTGCTGTTGTATGTCATAATTGTGTTGGTAATTTGAGGAGGCAGTCCACAGTCAGCTGTAAGTATATGATAAAACAGTATAGAGTACATACAGAAAATTTCGTTAATAACGAACACGATTAGAATAAACCGACTGAAGCCACTTATGTTATTACTTTCAGTCGAAATGCGTCTAACAACCTACGGTTACAAAGAACTAAAATTAGTGGCCCCTTTGAGTTGGTTATAACCACAGGGACGTGTCACACTTAGAAACAGAGTTAGAAAGACATATAGGTATATAGACCCTACCCTAGTACTATATAAAAGGAAAGGGATGTAACGACGGAACCACTCCCTCCTCAATCTAAGTTAGATTTCACCACGTAAACTATTTTTCAGGCCCCGTCGAGGCCTACGGATCAAAAGCGAGATGAATTCCCTACAAAATAAGCTATAAATGGTCACAATCGGATTATTATCTCAAAAGTTATACGCCACGACTCACCGAAAACAGCTACCTCCGCAATTCCAAGCCAAAATCATGGATCACCTAGACAGCGAAAAATTCGTTAAATGTCAAGGCCATCTATGGCCGACAAGTGAGTATGATTGCCGATGGTTTTGGAGAAAATGTTTGCTTACTGTCGAGGAAATGATTTGTAGATGTTGCAATAAGTTTTTAGACCCGTGGAATGGCGCTGCCGATCGAATCTAGCCCTACATAGGTGCTGTCAACGTGGCTGGAATTAATAAACGAATTTAAAAGGTGAGTTTTCGCTGTCTTGGGTGATCCATGATTTTGGCTTGGAATTGCGGAGGTAGCTGTTTTCGGGGAGTCGTGGCGTATAACTTTTAAAATAATAATCCGATTGTGACCATTTTTAGCTCATTTTGTAGGGAAATCATCTCGCTTCTGATCCGTAGGCCTCGATGGGGCCTTAAGATAGTTTACGTGGTGAAATCTAACTTAGATTGAGGAGGGGGTGGTTCCGTCGTTACATCCCTTTCCTTTTATATAGTACTAGGGTAGGGTCTAAATACCTATATCTTTCTAACGCTGTTTCTAAGCGTGACACGCCCCTGTGGTTATAACCGTAGTTTACTGTCCAGGGCGCCGTTGTACAAAACAATCTTAGCGCTAAGAATATCGTAAGTCTATGTTGAGGTATGTTAGTGACGATCACCCTAGCGCTAAGGTTGTTTTGTACAACGCTAGCCAGATGTGATTTGTATTATTTTGGCATTTTGGTTTGGCTTCCCTATAAACTGCACTGACGGCGTTGTTGGTCTGTATTTCACCGTGTAAAATATGTAAATAAAAAGGTGTCTGAAACTCATATTTGGTGACATGATAATCTGCAAATAGAGCTTGGCCATTAATTTGCAACTGCACGCATATTTTCTGCAGAATTTTAAACAAATGTCTGACGCTTTTGGCGTGTGCTCCCAGCACTGCAGCAGTGCATTGTACAATAACTTTGCGAGTCCGCTAAATGGTGTGAGGAACTTTGTGTTGACCTGCGCTCTATGGCCTTCACTCACTTGATATCTAATGTCCTTATCCTTTATACTGTGATGCTCACGTACTCGCCCCATTGCACTTACCTACACATTCTATAAAGGGAATCTCCCAGAACCCTGTATCAAGACATGTGATGTTGGTTGATCCACTGACGTGAACAAAGCCAGGAGAACACGTATAGACTGCGGTACTGTTCAGTGTTGTATTGTCAGATATCACAACGGTGTTGGCAACAACCGGGGGACTGCTGCAGTCGACTATATGCAACACAGATAGATGATGGTTTTACTGACACATCACTCACGTTCATGCCTATAGTGAAAATAAAAAAATGAAATATAAACATGTGGCCCACAAACAATTTCCATCTTAGTTATTGTTAATTTGATAGAATGATTCATTTTTCTTTATTTTCCTTATTTCTAATAGACCAGTGACAATCTCCAGCAAGCTAGCAATATACAGGAGATAGGTCTACCGGAGGTATAGAGCAAGGTGTGTGTGGTATATTTGGAAAACTAGGAATCTCTTGTTTTCCAAAACCAACTGACAAGCAGGATGTCAAGCAAGTATAGCAGCAAATCCGATTGCCGTGACCCTTACCGTTGGCCTTGACGTTATGATTTACATTTGTTGTTACCATGGAAATGATCAAAAAGGACACGTTGTCTGACACTTTCAAGTCTGGCAACGTTGGTTTTGGAAATCTATAGATTTCAAGCTTTCCAACGATACCAAAGACATACTGTTATACCTCTGTTAGAAGTGTTTCAATTTCGGACACCAAAAGACATTGCTCTATTGGGAGAGAGTCAGTTTGTGTTCACTTAACTGGCAACTGTATTTCATTCATATCAGCGGAAGTTTTCCGCAGAGGATTTCCGTGGATACAAAGTAGTCTTTCCAACTTGTCGATCAATTTGCATAAGATCTTCTTATGTTTTAACATTCCGCAAACTGTTTTTTTCTTTACATTATCCTTACACTTTCTTGCTTCTAGTAAGCCACATGACACTTTGCATTGTAAAATAGTGGTGTGCACTGTTTGATGGTGTACGAAGTTTAGTAATGTATTATAACTTCACCAACCCACTCGTTCCCGTCAAGGACTCGACAAAGGATGTCATATGCATTGACATTAAAAGTCATCTATGAAAGTGATTCAAATTGATAGTCCTCAATTCATTTACTTACGCTATTTCTGTTTCTCCTATTACGTTTATGTACACTATAGCACAGGTGTTATCAATTAACCTTATTTGGAAAATACAAAAATTCGATTATAACAATATTCTGATCAATAACAATTCGGGAAAACTCGATGTTCCCTGAACTGTGTTTTGCTACGTACTATTTTACCTTCACTTGTCAATTCCTGGACGGGCCATTTGCTTGTGTCAAAACACAAGACCCTCCTCGACTCAGACATGTATGTATAGCCGTCGTGACAAGTGGTTTGTCTAATATAAAATGAAAATTTAATGGTATGATTATAGCAGTCTGAGTAAACTTAGGCTCAGTATTATTCGTTACACTGCTATACTGAGTCTAACAAAACCTTGTAGAAGGTCGCGTCAGCTAACCTTTGAGCGACCTATGACCGTCCAATCAAACGCGAGACGGCCGAACGGATTTAACCAATCAGACAACGACTACTTGTTAGGGGTTCGGCGGGACTTACAAAACGGTTTTGAATTTTATCTTCCCTGGTCGCTGACACTGATCTATCAACAAACGAAAATCCGCATAAACACATATATTTGACCTGCAGTATCTACGCTTATGGGTTTCTAATGACATGGTTACTATTTGTTTATATTTTCGCAAGATGACATCCTTGACAAAAACGCTTTTTTCAGCGACTGCGCGGAAAATAGCATTCAGGTATTTTTAGGTAAAGGTTCAAAGGTATGTGCGAATGTTAACTTTCGCGTTTTGGTAAGCTGTGTTCTGATTGGTCAGTCCAAAAGGTTAGCTGACGCGACCTTCTACAAGGCTTTGTTAGACTCAGTATAGCAGTTTAATTAATAATACTGAGCCTAAGTTTACTTAGACTGATGATTATAGGACCATAGGTTCATGTGTACCTTCACAATATATCCACGGTTCCTCCCATGAGCCTGTATCTAGGCAGGTGATGACTGCTGATCCCGACAGGTGCGCATACCCAGGTTTACACGTGTACTCAAATGTCTCGTTCACAAAACCATCGGTAGGCGAGACCTCGGTTCTGTTTATGGAAGGAGGGTTTCCACAGTTAACTGAAACAAATAGGCTATCCTGTGATACGATCAACTTCAGCTTGATTTTTAATTTATGATTGAAACAATTGGGAGATATATCGGAGCCAATCAATACTGATGTGATAATAATGAATGCATCACCACTTGCACTTCTTTATGACCTTAGTTGTTTGTACAGTAATTGCTCTTGAAAGATGATTGGTGTATGATTGAGAATTTGCATGAGTACGATTTTCATTTTTTAGAGAACAAAAACGGTTAGAAACAAACACTAGGTACTGTGTGATGCAGGATGATTGTCAAAATTAATGGTCTACAGTGACTTATCGACCTTCTTGAAAACCGTCAAAATTAAGAATGACACCCCATGCACGTGTATGGGGCTACTGCGTTGAACACGTGCATTCCATGCGTGCCCCTTAAATGGGTGGTGATAAAGAGAAATGGTGGTGCGTTCATAAGATGACAGTCTTTGAAAAGTTTGTTAACGCTTATACTTCCTATCCAAATTGAAAGTTCAGGTACACCTACTTTTTAAAGAGTATATTATGAGTTTTCTAACCTATTCTTTCCCTTAAGGAACAACCGTCAACAACCTACTCTAAAGACAATTGGTGTCTTCTAGAGCGTATAACATGATAATCAAACCTCATCAGTGAAAATGATTCAAATCGATAGTTTGCAATTCATTTATTTACGCTATTTCCTTCGCACGTTTGTGTAAACGGCAGCATGTATGTCAGCAATTAACCTTAGTTTGAAAATATATTTAAGCCTTATATCAGTAGAATCACACTATTTATCGGGTATACTCAATGGAGCCATACTACATTTTATTACGTAATATGTTACCTTCACACTTAAACTCTGCAACATCCCATATGCCTGTGTCGAGACACATGACCTGATTCGACACAGATATGTTTGCGTAGCCATCGTGACACGAGTAGTTAGCGCTTTGTCCAACCAACGTCGACTTGACGTCGACGTCTGCGTGGTCCACGGTAGGCGGAGTGCCGCAGTCAACTGGAAACAGTCGGGGAAGAACATCTAGGGCAAACATTTTGAAAAGTAGCAAATTCAACATTATGTTCCCAACAGACTGCAATTAGTCCGGCTGCCCCTAAACGTCGACGAACTGTGCTCCTGGATATCGTTACATTGTTAACATTGAAGTGTTCTGTCTGAAGATCTGCTGTGTTAAGGAATCTGTAATGTAACGCAGTGTTAATCATGTACCTATTATCTCTGACTGTTGTGACGCAGGGCCGACCTGGTTGACGTGCATATTTCACGGAACCATTGGCTTGAAATCTCTGTCACAATCTACCAATAACGCTCTGACTCACATTAAAGCGGACAGCAACCTGCTGCTGCCAGATTCCAAAAGGCCTATAGCCTGACCCCTTTCAGAAAGTGTCAGAAACGTCTCATTTTAAGCTGCGATTTCAAACAGATACGTGAACAGTGAACGACAGTGAAAAAAAGCATCAATGCATGTGTATTGTCCTCCACTTTCCATGGATAGAGCGACCTGCTCGTGCAAATTATTTGGGGACGATTGTTACTATAGTATGATATTTTAGTCCATGATCTTTGTTGGTCTTTAATTTTAAACGTGAGAGTTATTATTTGTTTTTATGGTGTTGCTTTTGTTTGTTTGTTTTAGTTTTGTATCTGGGTGGGAAAAATATTGTGTTTAAGGCGGGTGTGTAGGTCAGAGTGTAGATGGAGGATTGTATGCAACTTGTCTTCTTATGGAAATTCGACTCGTGTGTAATGAATAAAACAATACTTCACCATATTCCTTTTTGTCATATACACAGACGCAATCGACCTCCTGTACATTTTTACCGGAGACGAGAAATATATAAGTTGGTTGTAAGTTTACAGTTGTGTGTGTTATGAGTAGGAAATACGATCTCGATTGTGTAAAACATGTTTGTAGACGCTGCGTTTGATCTATAGTTTCATAAATATTAAGTACTGAGAGGTGTTCATCCCTTGCAGACCTGGGATATGTTTTTTTGTAACAAGCTTAGAAAATGTTTGAAACAAAGACAGCCTGTTCAGTTACTACATCGTCTACGTATTTCATGACACTTTAACTTTACAAACACCATAAAGATAGTTTCCGTAAATGTATATTAATTATACAGCTCCGAGTATATGGTCTGATAGGATAGGTTAGTTTGCCGTACAACAACTGTCGGGAGGTGTCTACAGCAGCTTGCCTAGGACATAGGATAGTATTTCATGCTTGTCTTTTAGTTTACATAAGATCTTCGGATGTTTTTACATCCCGTAAACAGTGTTACATTTACATTTTTGGTACTGAGAGTTTTCTAACATTGTCATGCTCATTATTACCAAATTCACTTTTTATCGGGTACAATGATCAATGGAGTGTTTTTCTTCATAATGTGTTACCTTCACATTTCATGTCTGCGACATCCCAATTGCCTGTGTCGAGACACGTGACCTCGTTCGACACAGATATGTGTGCGTAGCCATCGTGACAAGTGTAATTAGCGCTTTGTCCAACCAGCGTCGAGTTGACGTCGACGTCTGCGTGGTCCACGGTAGGCGGAGTGCCGCAGTCAACTGGAAACAGTAGGGGAATAACAACTACGGCAAACATTCTTGATAACAAGTCGCAAATTCAACATTATGTTCCCAAACAGACTGCAACAGTAATATGTATGTTTGTATTTTTCCTTTGGAATTACAGCTTCCAGTTGCGACTGGCTCATTGCTCAGTCAGTGTGCAGAGAATATATGCTATGTATTAATTTAGGGTCAAATGATATATAGCACATGTAAAGAAACTTTTCTCAGAAATAATAGAACTAAGAGCGTCATCATAATGTTAAATGTCTTGAGAAACGTGACACATCGTGACATACAGATGATAAGTTCAAAAAGCACTGGCATCAGTTGTATAGACCAATCCCCCCGAAATGAAAATGACAAACATGAAGCACCCGGTCATTCAACAGCTTGTTTACCCTCCTCGCGCGTCCAAGACACAGGCGCACCTTCTTCTCATGCTTCTTATCAAGTTCATACAGAAAGCTTGCGGAATTGCATTCCATTCCTCTACTAGAGCTCTGCGGAATCTTGGGTGATCCACTGGTGCTGGGGGACGTGTGTACACACGTCGACCGAGTTCTTCCCAGGGATGCTCAATTGGGTTGAGGTCTGGCGAGCATGCTGGCCACTCCATCCGCTCTACACCCTGCCGCCTAAGGAATTCCATGACAATCCTGACCCTATGAGGCCTAGCGTTGTCGTCTTTCAGTAAAGAGGGTCGACCATAGAGGCCATGCATAGCTTGCAGAAATGATATATAGGAGCCAGAATTTCGTCCCGATAACGCTGTCCGGTAAGATTACCGTCGACCACGTGCAATGGGTACGTCCAGCAGTAGTTACCCCTGCCCAAACCATGACTGATCCCCCGACAAAATCGTTTATGCGTGTCCACAGATGCATCTGTGATTCGCTCATGACGATAAATCTTCTGCCAATCATCACGGAAGGACAAATTGAAACTGCTTTCATCTGTGAAGAGTACACGATACCATTGTCGTTGATTCTCAGCGGCCATGATATTTACTCCATCTCAAATGCGCCTGCCTGTGATGTGGTGTTTGTGGTGGACGAACTGCACGTCGCCTACAGCGGAGTCCGGCTGCCCCTAAACGTCGACGAACTGTGCTCCTGGATATCGTTACATTGTTAACATTGAAGTGTTCTGTCTGAAGATCTGCTGTGTTAGGGAATCTGTTACGTAACGCAGTGTTACTCATGTGCCTATCATCTCGGACTGTTGTGACGCAGGGCCGACCTGGTTGACGTGCATATTCCACGGAACCATTGGCTTGAAATCTCTGTCACAGTCTACCAATAGCACTCTGACTCACATTAAAGCGGACACCAACCTGCCGCTGCCAGATTCCAAAAGGCCTATAGCCTGACCCCTTTCAGCAAGTGTCAGAAACGTCTCATTTTAAGCTGCGATTTCAAACAGATACGTGAACAGTGAACGACAGTGAAAAAAGCATCAATGCATGTGTATTGTCCTCCACTTTCCATTGATAAACCGATCTGCTCTTGGAAATTATTGACATTGAATAGAAGGTGGATTTCCATATTGACAATTTGAATAATAATTATATTTCCACGGCCTGATGTGTTTTTCCCACACAGTTAAGAAAGTTTGTAAAACATTCAGTTGTATATATTTCAAACCAAAACGACGATTTTACAACTTTTAAGAAACAGTGTTACCAATAGCTTTTCCCTTCATTAATGACGCCGAGTACGGTAGTCAATGTCTCATGGGCCAATATTTCCAAATGCAGATCAATATACCTGGTTAGATTTCAGTTTCAAATGAAATGTTTCATAGTTTGTTGTTGTTTCTTGCAATAATGCACAAGACCGGTTAGATGTTGAAGATGATGACACATGTTGAAAGTAATAAAATCTAAAATGGAAATTTAATGGTATGATTATAGGACCATGTTGATGTGTACCTTCACAATATATCCCCAGGTCTTCCCATGTGCCTGTATCTAGGCAGGTGATGACTGATGATCCCGACAAGTGTGCATACCCTGGTTTACACGTGTACTCAGCTGTCTCGTTCACAAAACCATCGGTAAACGAGACCTCGGTTCTGTTTAAGGAGGGAGGGTCTCCACAGTTAACTGAAACAGAAAGGCTCTCTTGTGATAACATCAAGTGTGCTTCATTATTTATTGCTTTATGTATGTGGGGATGATTGTTACTATAGTATGATATTTTAGTCCATGATCTTTGTTGGTCTTTAATTTTAAGCGTGAGAGTTATTATTTGTTTTTATGGTGTTGCTTTTGTTTGTTTGTTTTAGTTTTGTATCTGGGTGGGAAAAGGATTGTATTTAAGGCGGGTGTGTAGGTCAGAGTGTAGATGGAGGATTGTATGCAACTTGTCTTCTTATGGAAATTCGACTCGTGTGTAATGAATAAAACAATACTTCACCATATTCCTTTTTGTCATATACACAGACGCAATCGACCTCCTGTACATTTTTACCGGAGACGAGAAATATATAAGTTGGTTGTAAGTTTACAGTTGTGTGTGTTATGAGTAGGAAATACGATCTCGATTGTGTAAAACATGTTTGTAGACGCTGCGTTTGATCTATAGTTTCATAAATATCAAGTACTGAGAGGTGTTCATCCCTTGCAGACTTTGGATATGTTATCAACTAATATATACGAATATTTATGAGCGTGGGTTCCTTTCTTGCTCCCTTCAGTTTGTATGCACATGATATGCACAGAAGAATTGTAAATGCTGCTATACTAAAAAACGATAGCCCCTATTTATCGAAGATTTGAAATTTAATGTTCGTCTTTTATGAGATAATTACATCGATAACTGAAACATTCAGTTATGAAATACACCCCTTAAGAGATCAGTTAAATTTCATGACAAGAAATGTGATAGACATGGTAGCTATTCTATTTCTACAACATGTACACCCTGGAAAATTTCAGAGATTACCATACTTAATGGAGATTTTAGAAATACCACCTTTCCACTATATATTTGTAACAAACTTAGAAAATGTTTGAAACAGGGACAGCCTGTTCAGTTACTACATCGTCTACGTACTTCATGACACTTGAACTTTACAAACACCATAAAGATAGTTTCCGTAAATGTATATTAATTATACAGCTCCGAGTATATGGTCTGATAGGATAGGTTAGTTTGCCGTACACAACTGTCGGGAGGTGTCTACAGCAGCTTGCCTAGGACATAGGATAGTATTTCATGCTTGTCTTTTAGTTTACATAAGATCTTCGTATGTTTTTACATCCCGTAAACAGTGTTACATTTACATTTTTGGTACTGAGAGTTTTCTAAAATGTTCTTGCTCATAATTACCAAATTCACTTTTTATCGGGTACAATGATCAATGGAGTGTTTTTCTTCATAATGTGTTACCTTCACATTTCATGTCTGCGACATCCCAATTGCCTGTGTCGAGACACGTGACCTCGTTCGACACAGATAAGTGTTCGTAGCCATCGTGACAAGTGTAGTTAGCAGTATTTCCAACCAGGGTCGAGTTGACGTCGACGTCTGCGTGGTCCAAGGTAGGCGGAGTGCCGCAGTCAACTGGAAACAGTAAGGGATGAACAACTAGAGCAAACATTATGAATCATCATAAGTAACAAATTCAACATTATGTTCCCAAACAGACTGCGATTGCCATATGTATTTGGCCTTTGGAATAACTGTTCCCAGTTTCGACCGGCTCATTCATCAGTGTTAGGCGAACGACACTTCGTCAAGTAGAGCCAATGTTTCCAAATCCAGATAAAATATATCATTGTGGCCTAAATTACAATTTAAACTGCCACATTTCTGTTTTTCAATTATTGTTAATGTTGTTGATGTTTCATGCCATTTACGCAAAGAAGTGGTTTAAACTCTTCAACATGAAAGTATTTCAATCTGAAATGGTAACATGATGTCATGTTGCAGGACCTTGTTCATGTGTACCTTCACAGTTTATCCCCGGTTCTGCATATGCCCCTGATGGTGTTGTCTGACTAAACATATATCGTTAATTAAGCAAAAACAAATCATATAGCAAAAATATAATCACGAACTATGTGCCACAAAGATATACCTTCACAGATTATGTCAGGAACCTCCCATTCGCCAGTTTTCATACACGTGATTCTGTTTGACCTGGAATCATGTCCGTATCCTGTCACGCATGCGTATGTGGCTGTTCCGTTCAGCAGACTGGAGGAGATAGTGACGGTAGCATTCTCTACACTTGGAGCAGACCCACAGTGCACTGTGGACCAAAGATAAAAGCAATGGTTACTGTACTGAGTCATAAATACTTAATGATAGGTTTAATTATAAAATGTATTATCTATAATATCCATATTCAACTATAAGGTTTATTTAATATATTGGCTTGGTATTCTTACAGAACTGGACTAACGCCACTGGAAACAAGGTAGCAAAGCACAAATTAGAATCACAGTATGACCTGCAGGATGTAGACCTGAAAGATTTTATTGTAGATGTAGACATGACATGTATTTTTATACTCTTGTTCTAAGTCTCCCAAACTGACTAATATGACATCTGGAAGAGAAGAGGTCATATGCTTCAATGACAAATGAACCTGTTTTTCCACATCGATAAAAACATCTGCAGTGAACTATAATGTGAAAATACCCATATCGACATGCTGAATGTGAAGTCTTTTTTCAAAATGAAACCTGAAACTTTCGACCCACCAGATTCAGACAAACATACCTTTCGTTTTGCACATTAGGGACTTATTGTAATTACAGTAGTTTCCTTCATCGCTCAACTTACCGCACTCCAGGACACCAGCTTTCCAAACCGTTCCAGATTCAGTGATATTGAAGCACTGCAAGTACGTATTGAACACTCTCCCTTTATGGCATATAGCTTGTGCCGTGAATGTGTTTCGGTAGAGCACAGGCTTAAAGGCGTCATTCCAAGTAGCGCTAAAGTTTCCGTCTGTTGTGTACAATCGGTTCCAAACCAGACACTCAGTGGACGGTAGGAGGTCATCAAATGTTTGGTCAACATCCGCAACCCAGCGACTTCGAGTCATTTCTGATGTCGTAGCTGTGGATGGTATTGGATATGTGCTTTTAATTTCGGGGGATTGAAGTGTTAGTTATCATATTTTGTCGCGATTGGTAGATACTATAAGTGTGATAGCGAATTCACCTTCAGGTTGTATGTTACGTTGTTGATGGTATGGAATACGTGCCTTCAATGTGGGGGGGTTAAAGTGACTGTTAGTTAGCATATTTTGTCGCGATTGGTAGATACTATAAGTATGATAGCGAATTCACCTTCAGGTTGTATGTTAAGTTGAACACAACTGTTTAGTGATTTATGATTTATTAGAAGTGACATTTATAATTTGAATTTATATTAGTTATACTTGAACATCCAACGTAAGACACGAAAGAGTGGAATAATTCCATATAGTGCCTTGACACTTTAATGTCCATCGTTCATGGGTATATAATGTATAAATATGTAGTGATTTCATTCCTGAAAGGTAAGTATACTACCAATCAAAAGTTTAGACTCACTCAAAGCACTCACTATATGTTATGTATATATTTATATAAATGGTTACATCGAAGATAAATTTCTCCACTGACTTGGGGGAACCAACTGCAAACCTTATGCAGATGAACTGCACGTTGATCATGCATCAAATTGCTGAAGAGCATGTGCAAATATCGTGCACGTTATGAATTTGTTTTACAATACATCAGTTCATGTGTAAACAGTACCTGTAAATATTGTGGAGTAGTTTCCAAAATCTAGTTTTGAACAGTTGACTGAAGTAAGTGGCTACATTTACACTAGTGAGTCTAAACTTTTGATTGGTAGTATATATCAACGCTTTCAAAAGGTATGACGAGAGTATGTTCGTGTAAAACAATGAAGTGTACATGTGGCATCTTGCCACATATGTTTGTTGTTCTGTTAATCAGCAATATTCCAGCTATATGACGGTGGTCTGCACACCACAGAGTCTAGACCAGATAGTCCTGCAAACGACCTGTTGAACATCGATACACCCAAATAGGATACGATGACATGCATCAACCAAGTCAGCGTGCCTGATCATCCGATCCCCTTAGTCGCCTGTTACGAAAAGCATTGGTTGACGAAGAGTTTGGATGTGCTCGGCTTCAGATCCGTTGCAATGGTAAAAATTCTCTCTACAGTCCATATTATGTGGTGGACTACTGGTAATGACATTGTTTAGGTATTAACAACTGTAATAACACGTGGATTATGATACATTTTCAAATGGTTCTCAGTTAACATAGTCCTCACGACGTCACTTTATTTCTGGCTGGTGGCAGTACAGAAAATTGTCTTACTTTCTTGTCTTACTTCAATCTCAGACAAGTTGAATCATGTTGATTCATGTGGCTATAGATAAACTAGTATCTTCCTATTACTAGATATCTTATAATAACCCATAGATTATGATAAGATTTTTTATCATAAATGAGTTGCGACCCCTTCACGTACAGGTAAGATATTTACGCTTACATGATCTTTAATCACTCATGCTAGCCTGTCCTAGACTGTGCGCATGGACTTTGAAACTAATACTTCTCCTCAGTAAAAGTTATCAACAAGTCAACGTGATAAAGGGAGAGATTTTCCAATTCAGCGCCTTTGATAAACCTTTGTGGCTACAGATAAACTAATATTCTCCTACTACTAGATATCTTATAACAACCCATAGATTATGATAAGATGTTTATCATAAATGAGTTGCGACCCCTTCACGTACAGGTAAGATCTTTACCCGTACAGGTTCTTTAATCACTCATGCTAGCCTGTCTTTGACTGTGCGCATGGACTTTCAAACTAGTACTTTTCCTTAGTAAAAGTTATCTACAAGTGAACATGATAAAGGGTGAGATTTTCCAACTCAGCGCCTTTGCGGAACCGATAGTTGCTGTGCTACAATGAGAGGCCCAAATTGGTGAATGCCTGATACGTCTTCAGTGGCTATGTCTCGGAGGTAGTAGTTGGCAAACACTGTGTCCGACTTCAAAAAGCAGCCCTCAATTTATTGTTGGTATAGAGCAATTTCCATGCAGATCTAGTGTTGATGCTAGTGCTCTGACTTCGTGTGGGTTGGAAGCTCTAGGAGGTTCTAGTCCTGCTGCTTTATAGGCTCTCAATATTACAGCTCTCATCCAGAATGATATGGTCGTTCTCTGCTGAAGTCTCTGTTGATAATGGGATGAACAGGCTTGAATTTTTGTCTCCTCGCCTCAGTCTTTTGAAGATATATCTTCAGGGCTCTGACTGGACACAAGGATAAGTCCTCTATATCCTGTGGACCAAGGACTGTAGACATCGCTGGTACTTGGAACTGCTATCTGGTTGACCAGGTAGCTGGTTCTTGGCAATAAAGTTCCATCTAAGTCCTAGATGAACTGCATTATGTTGCCCTCTGTCGAATGTGGTTCGACCAACGTAAAGCGCATGTATCTCCGATATGCGACCTGCTGTGGCTAACGCAAGCAGGAACAGTGTTTTCTGTGTTAGCAGCTCGAGTGTAATCTGATCTAGTGGTTCGTAGACATCACTGGTAAGATGACGCAGAATTACATTTAGATCGCAGGCTGAAGCTCTGAATTTCTTTGCTGGTCCTCCAGCTTAAAAGATCTCAGCAAAGCAAGTAATTCTGGTACTTTCGTCAACTTGATGCCTATTTACATAGTAATCACTGTACTGATTGCAGCGAGGTATGTAGATAGTGTCGAACCCTTCAGATGTCTGGTCTGTCTAAGATGACACAGATATTCCTCCACTTGAGGATGAGTGGCGATCATCGCTGTGAAGCCTTTCCGCCTTGCATAAGTCTCAAACTTCAGCCATTTGTCATCATATAGGTTACGAGTCGATCCACGTAACGCTAGCGTTACTGCTTTGGCTGCACTGGCGGAGTATCCTCTTTTCTTCAAGCATGTTTAGATACGGTCCACTCGTGTAACTGGAACACTGTTGGGTTTCCGTGGACTTGCTTGGTGTGCGGATGTATTAGTAGGTTCGGCCAATCTGGTAATTTGATTACTGGGTTTCCGAGATCTTCTATTAGGTCTGGGAACCATGCTCTTGCTGGTCAGTAAAGCGCGGCCAAAGTCAGTTGTAGCATCTGAGTCTTGAACAGTACTTTTGGCAGTAGTATCGGGGGTGGAAAAGCGAAGCCGTTTACTCCTTCCCACGACATGCTCAGTGCATCTGTTGCCCAGGCTTGAGGATCTGGAACTGGCGAGACAAACGTCTCTAGTTGTATGTTGAACCTCGTTGCAAACAGGTCTATGCAAGGGGATCCTATCTCCCTTATGTTCCGAAACGCTTCTGGATGGAGCATCCATTCCGTAGGTGATGGGTGTAGTGGTCTTGAGAGAGAATCTGCCAGTACGTTCTTGGCTCCGGGTATGTGACACGCCTTTATCCAGACGTTTGCTTCCTGTGTAATCTGGAACAACTGGAATGTGAGCTGCAATAGGCTTGGAGACCTTGTGGTTCCTTGCCGGTTTATGGAGAACGCTACTGTAGAGTTGTCCGTGTCGATCATCAGCATTTTTTTGTTAAACAAGCTCGACCATAGTTGTAAGGCGTTGATCACTGCTTTCATCTCTAGCAGATTGATGTGCAGTTTCTGTTCTATTTTGGACCACTTTCCCGACGCCACTTTGAGGCATCTGCGTAGAGATGCGTGTCGAAGGCCGAATCTTGTAAATAGGTCCCTTCGCAAACGTTCTACCTGTGTGTCCACCACAGTAGATATCTCCTGATGTTTTCTGGCAGCAAGATAGGGTCGACGCTGTCAAAATGTTTTATCAGGAACCGTTGCAGCAGTCTTATTTGTAACCTTCCTGTCCGCGTCAAGTCCTGCGCCAAGGTTAGCAGACCGAGTAGCACTTGCCATGTTCGTAGTGTTAACGGAGAAATGACTGCTTGTTGAATCATTGCTTATATCTTGACCTAATGATCTTCTGGGATCAGAATTCAATCCTGTATTGTGATAATTCTTCTTCCCAGCAATTGAAGATCTTGATTGATTCTAACTCCAATTTCCATCAGGTTCATTAGCCATCCTAGTTGCGTGAGCAACTTAATTGAGAAGTTCATCTGCTCTCTGAGTTGATTGGCACGTTGAAGAACCTGTATGCCGTCCTCCAGATAACCGGCACTGCGTAGATCTCGATGTTGTAAATAGGTGCCGATAGGCTTGGTTATTCGTATGAATAATCATAGAGCCTACGATATTCCAAACGATAGGACGTTCCATTGGAAGTGCTAACCTCTGATTGCAGTGATGATACATCATTCTTCCACTTATATACGCAGGCGATCTGTGTTGACATTGAAGCGTTGTCTATTTATAGCAAGGGTGGCTCCCATGTAGCATCGCAGGGGACAGGTACTCATACCGACTTCTATCAGTGACAACTTCCAAAATAAACATCGTTTATCCTGCTGTCAAGGCTAGACATCTACTAGATTTCCATGACGATAACAGGCCGTAGTTGTATACTGTTTCCAAGGCTGCCGATGAAGTATTCTCCCGTACCACGGGTTTGTTTACAATGAGAAAACATGCTGGAGCCTGCTCTGTCAGTGGGAGGCGTTGTCTGACGTGGACCAATCAGCTGCAAGCATGACGTCACCAGTGTTGTAGCCAGTTGGCCTCCATACAATCTGTGAGTAAAAGCACGTGTAATCCTAAGCTGCTCATATAAGCCTCCTAACTAAGGGTTGCTCCAAGCTTGTTTATGATATGAATCGAGCATGACGAAGCAGGCTGTCGAGACGTATGTCTGTATGGATCTAGTTGATAGGATATAATTCCTTATCTCCACGCTGAGTGACGAGTGTTAATACGATCATCTGTACGTCCGTTCAAGTATACTTGAAGGCGATGTTAACCTTAAGCCCATTCCAAAGGTCGTCTTAAGGTTCTCCAGTACTTGATATATCGCGTCATAAGTGATATCATATTGGAGTCGAAGTCATCAGCGTATATGCAGTACGTCTCAGTTGGGTTTGAGTGAGTGAGTAAACGACAATATCCGTAGGCCATCTGCTACCCGGTATAAGACCTCAGCATCCGTTTCCATCATTGCTTCATTTTATTCAGCCGTATGGTAATAGAGTCGACGTCAACATCCTGCCTGTTGATGTAAGGGTTTGCTAACCCTGTAGATGTCTACGTTTCTGTTATCTGCCTGTAGATCTGAGAGTTCTCGAACCTTGTAGATGTCTGTAGCTTTCTCAAAGCTGTGCGTTAGCAATCCATGCTGTAACTTATGAGTCTGGGAAGACGAGGTCCGTTTGCAAGACCGAAGTCTCCTGATTATTAGAGTTAGGTCTCACAGTTCATCCATCTGCGAACCTGTTTCCCTTCTCGAACCTTCATCCTCGTTTCGTGAACCTCTATCTGAAGATTCCTCCCTATGCGAACGTCTATCTTGAGAGTGTTCTGTCCGCGAACCTCTTTCTGTGGATACATCGCTTCGTGAACCTTGTGAGGTGAGCTATCTCTTCGCGAACGTTTTGCGAACCTCTGGCTTCAGGTGAGTAGCTTCGCGAACGTCTGTGCGAAATATGAGATCTCGATCTAGAGAGGCTAGGTGTAGGAGCAGGATCCTTTAATGTTCTCGAACATTGAGGGTTCGCAGACGTAGATAGAGTATAAGTCATCTCTATCATCCTCCAAGATGACAGAGTCGTCCCACTGTGGAGACCTTCGCAAAGGTGTACGTTCTCAAACGTTGAGGATTCGCAGACGTAGATAGAGTAGGTAAGTCATCTCTATCATCTTCCAAGATGACAGAGTCGTCTCACTACGGAGACCTTCGTAAAGGTGTACGTTTTCCAACGTAGCCTTGAGGTGTAGATCAAAGACGAGTAGATTCGCGCAGCCCGTGGGTTCGCACCTATCTTTACGTTTGCGCACGGTTCCGGTAGATGAGAGGCTTTTCTTAGCCTTCAATTCCTTCTGGAATCTACGTTCCATCATGGACATCATGGACATCATCGAAGCTTGAGTTATGTGCCTCAACTTCACTCCGCATAGGTTGACGCTGCGACAGAGTCGTACGGTGTAGATGAAGCATTCCCGAACGCTGATGAGTTATGTGCCTCAACTTCATGTAGACGATCTCTTCGATATATTATCAATCGTGACTATTCATAGATATAATATAAGACAAATATTGATTAATTGAAGATTTGATAAATCAATACATTAACTACAGCGCAAGCTGGAGGAACATGGATTTATTCACGAAGGCCATTGGGGGTGAGGATCCGCCAAGGATAACCTGTGCCTGCAAACAATGCAGGATTTCATGAAATGTAAACAACGTTACATGACGATGAATTTACGACTCAAAGTCAATAATTGTTTTACAAAATTTTACAAATACTACATAGTAGTTATAGCCAAATCCATATACAGCGTAATTTTGAAGAATACGTCTAAATAAAAAAGTATGTGATGCCCTATATGGGCGAAAAGGGAGAGAGTGACAAGTAAGGCACGTCACATGACTGGTTTGCGCGGGAAAGGGCGAAGGGGGGTAACTTGTGGGTGAGTGTATTTATACGTCCGCTACGGGAACTTCAAGGGATTCACACGCCGAAGACCCGGGTTCGATTCCCCACATGGGCACAATATGTTAAGCCCATTTCTGGTGTCCCCCGCCGTGATATTGCTGGAATATTGCTAAAAGCGGCGTAAAACTAAACTCAGTCAGTCAGTCAAGGGATTCAAGTGTTCCACTACCATTCGAAGAGGAAAGGGAGATAAGCAAAAGATCATGAGTCAGGATCAGGAAAAATAGCATGCTTCGAAAGAACCATTCCTATACTTCCGATTTACGTACTACGTCTCGAAATACGTTTATCATTGCAAACGCTTAGTGATGTTATTAGTTGAATGTGTTTAAATGAAATCTTCTCAATCATATCAACACATAGGATACAGCCATTTCGACAGTATGTATGTTCCCATGGGTCGAAAAGGGCCCATACAATACCTTGTCTTTTAAGAAGGGCAAAATTCGCCACTTATTACTTCGTAATCTTTTCTGTGGAAGGTACACACAGTTTTGTTTTTCAAAACACTTCTATTCTAAGGATGCATTTTGAGACTGTAAAACCCGAGAACAAATGTTTTTCACGGTTTTACTTCCTCGGAATGTCTAAGCCTTACAGTTTCATTTTCATTGACGTACTGCCATAGAGACAACATAAAACATCAATGAAACTACCGTTCAAGTCTATGTGTCCCGTGAAGATCCGGGTTTGAATTAATCTTCAGTAACTCATGCTTGTCCTAAGAAGCGACTATCGGGATTCGGCGGTCAGACTCGCTGACTTTGTTGACAGATGTCATCGTATCCCAATTGTGTAGATCGATGTTCATGCTGTTGATTACTGGATTGTCTCATCCAGATTCGATTATTTACAGACCGCCGCCATATAGCTGGAATATTTCTCAGTGCTGCGTAAAACTCAACTCACTCACTCACTCAAGTCTAGGTATACCCAACTTTCACTGACATGCGAAATTGACTTACGACAGGATGCTGGGACGTCACAGAGGCCATACTGACTAGTATTCACGGCATTCGTGTAGCACCAAGGGCGACTCTGGGAGAGTAATGGATTGCGACAGTATATCATGCCTTGCCAGAAGCTGGAGAAATGGCTTTTCTGTTTGAAGGGAATGCTTGGACCACTCCATGAAACACAACTGGCACCAGATGACGTTCTTATTATGGCCCCTTTGTATGTTGAGCCTTTGTCGTCTTGCATACACATATGATCTGAAATTACATGAGAATATAAAGTGTCCTAACATTGTTCTCTTTGTTATCCATTCAACATTCTAAGATAAAGGCAGCCTCTGTTGTTTTATGGACACCTATTCCTATGTATACCTATAGGATGCATGTACTGATATACTGAGAGAAACAAATAAAGAAACAGAGGGAAATTCAAGTGTTCCTTTAATATTTTCCGGTTTCTATCACCAGCTTGGAATAGCGCTGTGGGAGGAAATCTCAGAATAAATAAAGGAACCCTGCCATGAGGTAGTGTTCCCTTATTTGTTTGCCTCAGTTTATCATGTGTATATACATTTAAGTGAGTGAGTGAGTTGAAATTTATCGTCACATCGGCAATATTTCAGCCATGTCGTGACGAGAACAATTAATTTTATACATAGTAATTAATGATAAATTGTAAAAACCTGTCAACGAAGGACAGTAAAATAACTAGATTATCACAGATTCGAATTTAAAACTAGTAATTAGATCTAAAACAGTTTAACTATAGATGACAATACAATATAAAAGCAGGCTATATATTGCCAACAACTGAAGGTAGATCACCCTACTAGGGACCATGGGGACTTGCAGTACATTTGCTTCCTGCATGGACCCTAGCTGGATTTACACCATCCCTTCTTATACATTTAAGTGTCAGGTAACATGTGATGACTGGTTGTTTGTTTAACGCTGCACTCAACAATATTCCAGATACATGGCGGCGGTCTGTAAATAATCGAGTCTGGACCAGACAGTCCAGTGATCAACAGCATGAGCATTGTTCTACGCAACTGGGATGCGATGACAAAGAAGTCAGCGAGCCTGACCACCCTATCCCGTTAGTCATCTCTTACGACAAGCATGGGTTGCTGAAGACCAATTCTAACCCGGATCTTCACGGGTCGTCAATACGTGAACAAGAACGTTAAGTGTGACTTTACAATCGGCGTACCGCGATTAAGATTCCTTTAAACGCGTACAAGTATACAATACAATATGACAATACATAATAGGGAGTATTATGCGCATTTACAATCAACGACGGAGTGTTTCCGAACACCTTTAGTCAGTAGGAATAAACTCACCGCAGTGCCGCAGGGGACAATACTGCCACTCTACATCTGGATCAATGGTGTAGCACCAGAGCCCGATTTTTCCGTTGGGATTTCTGCAATAGTTGGCGGCGTCTGCAAAGTTATCATCCGGGAACTTTGATATGTCCGTCTGGGAGTGCACATGAGGGTTCTGGGAATCCCACCTTTGACAAGGGATGCCCGCCACTGTCATGTTTAAATGTCCCTTATAGTCGGTTTGCCTTGATTGGCGAAAACACTCTAAAGCTGTAAGGTAAACAAATGTTTGACAGTGAGTTGCAATAAGTTACATGCATGCAACCGGTGCAATATATCACCAGAACAGTAAGTGAACAAATGCAATGATGAATACATGACGGATATTTATGGATACCAATTGTTTCGAGGTTTCAGAGCAAATTCGTGCGTCTTCATCAGGTGAATCTTTCGTTACTGTAGTATGTTACAACGTTAGTACAAGACCCCTAAGGCTTACATTCACTCGGTACAACCTGTATGGTTTTAATTTCGGTATGTCCACGTGCCATGAATTATGAGTGAGTGAGTGAGTGAGTGAGTGAGTGAGTGAGATAGAATATAACCATATAGTGAGGAGAAAGGATTTGCATTTATAATAAATACAAGTTGTTAAAATTCCAGTCATCAAAGGACTGTAAAATAACTAGAGCCTCACAGATGGTGTTTAAAACTAGCATGTAAATGTGATACTATATATTTTACTTTTGAAGACAATACAAAATAAAAGCAGGCTATACGTGTAGGTCGCCAACAACTGAAGGTGGATCACCACACCAGGGAACATGGGTACTTACAGTGCCTTTTCTACTGAAAAGCATGTAACCTTGAAAGGTAGCGATGATGTTGTACAGCAATTGTCGAACATTTAGTGATTATTTCCTCTGATACAATCACTTCATTTGATAGTATTTGTTGAATGACGCTTGAAGTGTAAACGGGTATTACATGTAGGTTTGTAAATACAAGAGGTACGAAAAGAACCCTTGCATGATGCCTTGCCAGATGCTTTGCCAGATTATTACATAGCCTGCGACCTCGTGATATATCCGTGATCGGAAATAGAATTGTGAAGTTATAAGACCTATTTCATTATGAAATCTGAGTAACATGACATTTAATCAACATATTTGTGAACAGATTATTATTTTAACTTTGACAGTTCGCCATAAGACGAACGAAACCGATTAATCTTTAATTATTACAAGGCAGAGAACTCCAGCATTGCTCTTTTGTTTATATGGTTCTGCGGTAAAAGCAAATGACACTGTCAAACATTTACTTAAGACAAGTAACGAATCTAAATAGTTTTAGGAATGTCATTAAGATTAGTAATATCATCATGTTTTAGCCAAAACATCTGAAACTTCTATTCATTTTGGATACATGGTAGCAATAAAATAACCAAATATTTTTGGCCACCTTAAAAGGTGCAAAACAACTTCCTGTCGTGTGCAGGGTGAAGTTGCTCAATACGTCACTTCCTGTTATATTTTTAGGATGGAAAATATGCAAATGACGTTATAGTTTTCGGGGATTAGTCTTGGCGAAGTAAATTTTAATTCGTGCAAGATGCAATAGCGGTAGGGGCCATACTAGTTTCAAAATGTTCCAGAAGTTACTGCAAAGATGAATACTTTAATATTTCTAGGACTAGACATGATTTTTTTACGTAATCTGCATATGTAAGCAGCCGATTCGGGGCGTGGTGTTTCTGCTTCTCCGATGATTTCACGTGCCGCGAATCGATGATTGCCGCAATACAATGAGGTGGGGTATGTCTATCAGTGCTAAGAATGAATAGGTCTGATAAAGATCACTAAATAGTAATGTACAAATATAACGTCAATCAGACATAAGTTGAAAATCTGTAATCAGACCATGCGTAAGCTCATGCTAAATTATAGAGTTACGACAGGTCGTAATGTTACGAACGCGTTGTGGATCGGGACCCTCGGCACACGAAACGAAAAGCTCACAGACGTTAACCCACCGCCTTGATAGACTCATTCGGAAATTTAACATAGGTAAATTTCAATAAAAAGGGGCTTGGGCTTCTCCAAACAGTGTGCTTCTTATCTGGTGACCAGCCAGGATGATTGAAAGTGGTTCCGGCATGGAGTGACATCATCGAGGGCGTCACCGTCATCGTCGTCGTGGTCATCATCATCATCATCATCATCATCATCATGCATCATACATGTTTATACCGCGATTATCAAGATAACTTAGTGTCTGCATTTTCATCCCCTACCGGGGAATTCGTTTGCTTTCCAATTATCATTTTTCAACTTCCGGGGAGTACACAAGAAGTTTGACCACAGTTTCGCACGCTGAAACCCTATGACTTCCCTGACAGCTGATGTGTAGTACAAACGTGTTTGGTATTATTTATCTAGTGAATACATCATATAATGCCTATTGCAATAATAATAATAATAGAAATGATAGTCCAATTATATTGCGCATTTATTCATGCACATTGCATGCTCAAAACGCTGACATATTACCCCTGGTCAACGAGTACAGAACACTACCCGTTGAGAATACAACCGGTCGCCTGTTAGGCTACCATCGTATTATACCAGGTACCCAAGTTACTGCTGGGTCGACAGAGGCAATTTTGAAGAAACGCACATGCCTAAGGTGGGACCACGTGTATCACTACGTTGTGGGGCAGGAATCAAGCCCTAGAAACTCTCAAGAGTCAAGCTGCCAAACACGGTCACCCATCCAAAACGCTCCGCGCCCAACGTTGCTTAACTTCAACTGATTGTGACGTGTCAAAAACGCACAGGACCACTCCCCGCCACATGTACAGATAAATCATGCTCTCTCTCTAAACAATTAAACTGGTCTGTCTAATTGTCATGCATATGATATCAACATCAGCAGTGACATAAACGTATTCACCTTCGTTATACGGCCTCCCATGAACCATAATCTCGCAGACTTCAAGGTGGACGATCACCTTGAATTTGATGTGGACACTGACGTATCTGCCTACAGGGACGTTGGGGCACTGGACGTTTGCAGTCGCTCCGAGGTAGGAGTTGAAGCTGTTTGGTGTACAGGATGAGTTAGCGTAGCCCTCACGCCACACCGTCGCGCTGATAACAGGAAATCGGTTTTCGTCGCTTTGGGACAGAACAGTTTTAAACTTAAAGGAAATGTATTGCGTCATTACTTTCAAGGTGAATAATTATGTGAATTACATGTTACAGCTCCCATACATATATATGTAATGAATTAATTCTTATCTGAGAGCAACATTCCACCACTACCAGCGCGTAAAGCCGTATGCATGTAGAAATCGTGCATCAATACGAATTAATTGGCCATTACATAAATTGGGATTAGTTTGAATGAAGTGTCTTGACATTAGTAATCTATGCAATGAATGGAATGGAGTAGGTGAACATCAAGAGGACTACGATCGACGACATTTTAGGCAAAGAATAGAATGGAGTAGGTGAACATCAAGAGGACTACGATCGACGACATTTTAGGTATCGATATATTTGTGTAATTATTTCCAATTTCATCTTTTATTACTCCTCAACGTCATAATAAAAAAGACGTTCTGTTGCATTTTTCCCTGGTATGTAAAATGTTTATTTTTTTGTTTTTTTTTAAATAACAAAATACTACTACAGAAAATTTGGGGAAATATATTTTTATTTACGTTCTGCCGAGTTAATATACTTTTCTTACCAAAATATGTTATGGAAACATCCCCAACCTCGACATCACTTCCCAATTCAATGACCACAGTGCTCTCGGTCACGTTGTGTGTCACAACACACGATGACGTGTTTCCATCCGTCAGTGGTGAAACGTCCACGGAGTCGTGGGATGTCAGAGATACCGGTTTGTCGTGTGCGAGGTTGTCATCAGCTGTAGAGAAAGGAACTCGTTCTATGCAAATCTATTCGTGTAGTGTAGTTGTCTCGTAAACCAAATTTGAAACAAATTGTACGATATCGTGATATTCATCTCGATGTAAAAGTAATCGTCGGTATGCTCACATTAATTATCTGTAAAAATTGATCGGCAACATTGCATTGGAAATTAATGGGAGGTTGTGCTGCAGTCTCATTTTAACACTTAAATTATTAGTATGTGTATTTTTCGAGACAAGTACCTAATTTTGTTCTCAATCACTAATTTAATAAAACAACTTGTTTTCCGAATTTGCGATTTCTGTACAACATGAGCAAATGTTAACTATGATAATTTTGGAATAAAATTCCAAATGTCATGTTTCACTTTGATAAACAGGCACCAAAGAAACTGCAACGGAAAATTACTGATAAAATTTTCATTTTCTGTGTTTTCAGATTAGCAGACTGCGTTTCACCATCATTAGTTTCAAGATAAAAAAAAGTTTACAAAAATTCACATGGAACATATATTGCATTCCTAACAAGTCTCAGAGAAATATTTTGCGCAGATATACCCCTCTTTCACGTCGTGCCTATCTGCCTCCTGATACTTGGTATGACATTGTCAATACATTTGTTATAATTATACACTCATCAGAAAAATGTCCAAATAGTACATAGGCACAACTTTATATGAAGTACAGTTACTGTTTCCGTTAGTATACTTCACTAGAGGAATAGATTATATACAGACCGCCGCCATATAGCTGGAATATTGCTGAGTGCGGAGTTAAACAACAACCAAAACAAACTCACTAGATGAATATATTAATATTTATAATAGGATAACGTAATACGAATATGTTATGGGATGGGTAGTTATGTAACCCAAATACGTCATAGACTGTTCCCATCCATGATGCAACAGGTTATAAGCTCAGGGTGCCGTTGTACAAAACAACCTTAGCGCTAAGGCTACCTTAAGTCTACGTTAATGAATGTGAGTTACGGTGACCTAGCGCTAAGATCGCTTTGTACAACGGCACCCTGTTTGGCACGACAACCTTCTCACACATGCATTGTATTCATACTGGTTGAGTAAAGGACCTGTGAAGATCCGGCTTAGGATGGATTTTCAGTCACCCATGCTCGTCGTAAGAGGCGACTAACGGGATCGGGTGGTCAGGCTCGCTGACTTGGTTTACACATGTCATCTTATCCCAATTGCGCAGATCGATGCTCATGTTGTTGATCACTGGGCTGTCTGGTCCTGAGTGAAGCGTTGGTCTTTGTTATACAAATTCACAGCACAACACATTTGTGCTTTCTTCAGCTTATTCTGAACATGATACTGATAGCCTCATCTTGCCAGATGGCATTTTGCCGTGCGGAGAACCACAACAACTACATAAGACCTTGAGCGTAAACCTTTACGTCTGACCAAAATGTGGCATCCATTTAATGTTTTCTAGTCCACTGACCTGTGCACACGATTGAGCCGGTCCAGTAGCCGTTGACGTTACAGTGACTTAATATCCGACCACCTTTGACGCTATAGCCCTCTATGCATTCGTAAGTCACGCGCTCCACAGCCCGATTGTAGTGCGTGGTTGACGGACGACTAGTTATCACTGAGAACGGACGTTGAGGTAGTTGACCACAGTCAACTGAAACACGAGACGACGAATGCTGAAGAGCATACATTCATTGTCTTCACGCTCAATAATTGAGATCTATTAATTCTATTAAAGATTAGTTTCAATTGAACTGAACGGTAAAAAATGCAAGGATATTTTCTTGACAATATTTCATGAATATTTCCCACTAAAATATCGTTTTATTTGTCAGTATCCAAATGTATATCTAATGGTCAAAAAAGATATAAATATGCGTAAAATGGGTCGCCAAAACACAACTTAAATGCGTCTACATGCAACAGCATTTACACCATGCCACCGACACTACCTACGATCACCTGCGCAGAGGTAGACTTAGGGTAAAAAAGCCATGACAGAATAATTGACAGAGAGGCCGTCATCATTTCACAGTGGCTACAAAAACAGCTGGTCCCTATCAGGGATCGGTTCTGATATATACCATTCAAAACACGTAGGGGATATTGGATTTACAAGATTGAGGAAACAGATGATGAGAAATTAAGGGAAAATGTGACAATTTATTCCTTTGGAAATGTTTCATCTGTATGGATATATATTACTTTTTTCATTTGCATTGGCACTGGCATTGGCTAGTGGTATACTCGCAAAATGGAATATCCCCTACTTTCTTTAATGGTATAGAAGTCGACTTTTAGCCAGGGTGAATGTCAGCTCTCAAAGACAGCATCACTGCCTTTTCTCACAGCTTGCTTTCTGTAGTCCCAGAAGCTTCGTGTCCACAGCAGTGAGCTTGGTGAGAGTTTGGGGTAGACACAAGGGACTCTATTCAGATGTCTACGTTATGGAAAGCGACTCATGGGGTATTCCTAGACTAACACTAAGTCTCTGAATATATATAATTTTGACAGGATTAAACAAACCCATTTAAACAACACTTAGTCTCGGAATATATATAATTTTGATAGTAACAAATAAACCCATTTAAATTGAAAAGAAGTCCCAGTGAGATTGGAAATTCAGAACCTGAGGAACTCAAGACTTTCTTCATTTAGGACATTAGCATTGCAGGGAGGTTAGACGGTAGTGACAATAACGTGGTTCGGTGATTGTTAGACAGACTAGGGGTATTCTAACCATCATGGTATGGAATACTATTACTAACAGTCAGAACATTGGCAAAGGCGTTTGCTAGAACGTCTTCCAGCCCGTCAACGACCAAACAGTCAGACCAACAAGATACTTCCTGAAACTACCTGGTATCGGAAGCATGCACTGACCTGCCTCAAGCCAAAATGTAAACTTAAAGGATCACATGTGAGAACAGCTTCAAAGAATAATGAATGATGCCCGACTCAGGTCGGATGAACTCCGTCTAATCTTTCCTGGGGCGTTAACTAAATTAATCCAACTACGGAAATGTATGGCTTGAAGTGGTCATTCAAGTAACTGACTTTAAGCTCCCATGTTCTTATCTGTTCTGGAGAATCTGTTATTGAAACAGTATTCATTGACACGTGACAATCATAAATTCATCCTTATCCTACTTCTTCTTATTTTCATTGCAATCAAAACCCCTGAATTCGTGCAGTGACGTTCCTTTTGCGCAGTATATTACACACCCACGAATACGATATAGATGTTTATATAAATTAATTACCTCCATGCAAGGTTTAGATTGTTATGTTCTCCTGGGGTGACGTGATCGGAATGACATTGCAAAGGTTTCTCTTACAACAAACAAGTAACGCGTGTTCACTAAATAAAACCGTACAGGCTCACGATTGTGCATTTATCAAGAATGGTTTTAATACCTACTTCTGTAGTTCATGGTGAAGCGTTTTAAAAAAAGTTACGAGTGCGATCAAAGTGTGTATTGGATGGACATAAGGCATGCTTAACCTACCTGACGTTAAGGGCCGGGCATATACCTCAATCCGGCATATCTGTAACATGCCAGGATTGTCTCCAAAATCCACCTCAAGTTGTAGATACTTCCCAAACCCTGGGTACCGTTGACCCGTACATGTAGCAACGAACCTGGACCCCACTGGTATGATGGCCGTGTGTTTCATACAGGTATGCCACCTGTGCGCGGGGTTGTTTTGAAGCTTCACTGCCAGGTTGGGTAGCGAGTAGGCTTAAACACGTGAGGCATGGAGTGAAATAGACAAGATGCTAGTGAACCATGTCATGGAAATCAATATAAAGAAGCGTGAGTGAGTGAGTGAATTTAGTTTACTCAGCAATATTCCAGCTATATGGCGGCAGTCTGTAAATAATCGAGTCTGGACCAGGCAATCCAGTGATCAACAGCATGAGCATCGATCTGCGCAATTTGGAACCAATGACATGTGTCAACCAAGTCAGCGAGCCTGACCACCCGATACCGTTAAGTCGCCTCTTACGCCTTTTGTGTCAAGCATGGGTTGCTGAAGACCTATTCTACCCCGGATCTTCACGGGTCAAAGAAGCGTGATGACTTGAGAACAGATGTATACTGGTAACAGTAAACAGACAAAAGGAACATGGGCATCTGGCATACATGAGTATGAGAAAATTGCTTCACAATGTTAATGTTCCCGATGACACTTGATTGTCTGGTCAACGAACATACAACTATATTATAGCTGGAATATTACTAGAACGAGAAGTCAATAGCAAACAAACAGTAATATTCTTTGATCCGCTCTCACCAAAGTCATCGTCCGGTAGTGTCACGGCTACTCGAAAGACGTCATAGAAGTTGCCCAAAGTGACGTTCATATGAGGACGTTGCTCACGTGCAGTGCTGCTACAGTCGCCGTTGGCAAGACTAACTCCCAGTTTTGTTGGATCCACAGCATAGGCAGCACTGAATACAGGGTTAGTCGGCAGTGGGAGATGCACGGTTGTAGTGTTGAGGATGTCGTCCAAAGTCGCTGTGGACGTCTGTACTGCGGTGAACGCTGCAACGTCTAGAGTGCTATTGGCTGGATGGATAAGTGAAACTTTATAAAATTTTATGATCAAGAAACTTTTTTTATAACTTGTTTGCCTTCACCATCATTATCAGTACCAAAACGGCGATAGTGTGGGTTAATTTTCTTTGTTCAGTAAACGGCGCCGACATGGAAGTGACCAAAATTCATTTATATTATGGCGCATCAGTTTGGCATCAGAAGATAGCCAGAATCAATGCCAGCCGGACACGTTTACCACTTTGGTGAAAACCACGAAGGTCTATAGTAGGGATAACCCTTCAAACAAAGTCAGAATATTTTATTCGAACTCATGATCACAGGTTTCTAGCATGCAAAGGGAAGCAACTGGCACAGAGAACTGCGCTTCAGACAATTGGGCCATCCCAAATGAAGGGATGTAGCCTATGTCTAGATTTAACATCCGTTTACGACAGTAAGCAGCATACTGAAAAATGCCATTTCATGGGCATTCCTGGATAAACAGTTTCGTGTGGTGCTTGTGTTGTCTTGTTCAAACTGAAACAGTACGTCAACGTTTCTCTATGCACGTTTTTTGTATATTTGCCTGTGCAGGACTTACCAAAGCATCTGTCCCCAGCCAACCAGGTCCCAGATGATCCACTGCATTCAGTGTCTGTTGAGGGTACAAGGAAACCGTCGGGGCAGGTGTACGTCACCTTGTCTCCTGCTTTAGTTCCTGTAGAGCTTATACTGGCGTAGCTTGTGTTAAGAGGAGGCCCACAGTCCACTGAAAACACAACGATTTGCTCTTGTTATTATATGCTTGAAGTTGAGTGTTTTGAGTTAGCTTTATTCTCTCATCCCAGCTAACACACAGCATTTTCACAACGTTGAGGGAATGTTGTTGATTGGTAAAGTCATTACACAACGTAAGTATTACGTCATTTTATAACGTTATGTCAGGACATGATAACGACGTTACACATTGACGTTGAGGAAACGTTCTACTTTAGGCTCCTCACAACGTTGTAACAAAGTTCTTATAACTTGGTGTCACTATGAAGTTTTCTTTCTTTTTAAGATTCTTTCTTCACTATTCAGCTACATCTTCAAAATACACAACCAAAACAACATGCAAATTGACGAATAAACATTGAAGTGAATTTCTGCTTTGTTTCTTAGTGATAGGGAGACAAACGTGAATAAACAAGGGAAATGGAATTAAATGCCTAAATTATGTTTTATAAAACCCTTACACGTCTGAGATGATATTCTGAAAGGAAAACAGAGGTTGTATTTTCTACGTCGTAGTTCTTATTAACACTTTTTCATCCCAAATGTTTGGAATTAATTATAATTCCCAGATAATAATTTTGACTGCAACTTTTATTCCCTCATTAGCAATCAAAACTTCATTAAAATATGAGCGTTAATATATTTGCTACAATATACCAACATTGTCTTTTTTTATCTTCCCAGTTAAAATTGGTCCTTAGCAACCCAGGCCTTTCATTGGGGGCGACTAAAGGGATCGGGTTGACAGGCTAGTTGACGTGGTTAATGCACGTCATCGTATTCAGATCCCGGATACCGATGCTCGTTATGTCAATCACAGGATGGCCTTGTCGAGATTAGATTATTTCCAGACCGCCGTAATATAAGTGGAATAATCCTGAGTGCGGCGTTCCACAACACAGAAATCTCTCATCTTTTAGTTTGTATTGCGGCTTCGAAATTTAAGTAATGGAAAAAATAACATAAACAATGTTTATGTCAGATATATGACTTGCGCATAATAACATTCTGATGTTTTGAATAAAAAAAATATACAGAATTGAATTACATTCACTCCTTTAAAAAATTCAATATTCCCAATCCCCATTAAGCGATGTATTTCCTCAAACCATTTTAACTGATTTAAGAAAATATTATGAGTGAGTGACCGAGATAGAATTTAAAGTCACATCGACAGTATTTCAGCCATATCGTGACTAAGAAAGTTGTAAATTTATATATTAATGAATAAAAGCAAACTAAAAATATACTTACCTGTCTGTAAAGAAAAGTAAACAACTAGATTATCACAGGATTAAATTTAAGACTAGTAATTAAATCTAAAATATTTTAACTATAAATCACAATACAATATAACTGAAGGTAGATCACCATACTAGGGACCATGGGGACTTACAGAAAAGTATCATGAAGGAACTTACGTGTGCAAACTGGACAGGTGCCATTGTACTTTCCGTTGACACAATGCCGGACTAGGTCCCCTGATGATATAAAGTAGGTGTCTATACACCGGTATTCCACAGTGTTGTTTTCCGGAAATGTCCTGTACGTATTGGCACACGGCGGAGGCTCACCACAGTCGTTGTGGGGTAGGTCTGAAAACATATCCATAAAAACAAATACTTGTGGGTTTACTTATACAGTACATTAATTCCTTTTCAGGATACTTATTTTGTATTAAGATATTAAATCGGTTGTATGAGCCTAAATTATGTGCAACACACAAATGCTATATGTGTCACGACTACTCCTGGAGGAAAAGATCACCCTTGTTACGACGTAAATTGTAATAAAAACGCAAATTGTAATAAAAATTGACGTAAATTGTAATAATTTCGTTGCGGTAACATGTAATAAATGTTTACGTAAATTGTAATAACAGTTTTAATCACTCGTAAATTCGCGGGTGTTTGTTTTTCGTTGCATTTCATACATTAAATAACCTTGTTAGGGCGATAACTCAAGAAAGAAATGATGGATTTTGTTCAAATTTGGTACCAAGGTATATTGGCGAGATTCACCGACACAAGTGAAATGGAGTGACCTTGAGATAATTTTCAAGGTCACAGCAGAAATCTGAGGGTTTTGCCAATATAAAGATTATTAGCGTGATAACCCAAGAAAGAATTGACAAATCTTAGCCAAATGACGAAAATGATATTCGTCCTGATATATAATCGATATAAACTGTCCTCTGTATCATGTCTTTTCGCAAATATCTTTTGAGGTTTTGATATGTATACATATAAAGTGGGGTTGGGGTAGGGGTGGGTTTCTAACGGGTATATCTAACACACTTGCATGCATGTAGAGTCGGAGAGGTGGGTGGGTTTTCTAACGGGTATAACTACGAGGGACGTTCAAATAGTAGTCAGCCTCACCTAGAATATGATACAAATGCAGCTGTTTTTATGGGGTTTTTTCTACATATTATCTGTCAGCCTCAAGCAAATTGGTTTTTCTATGTTGCAGCCTCACGATCCCCATTTTGTGAGACTTTGTATCTTGGCTTGGTACTCCCAAAAAACGTAAAATCTGCAATAAAATGCATCACAAACTTCAGGAAACAAAATATGCTATGTTTGAGATTGGTAGAAGTCGGCTAGAATCAAACTTAGATATTAAACTGCACAAAAAAGCAATTTCAAAACTACAATCGCTTGTTCAAATGACCCCCCATTCTGTTTACTGAAAGAACTCGAGAAAGAAATGATGGATTTTGTTCAAATTTGGTACCAAGGTTTATTGACTGGAGATTGGAGATTTACCGACACCACTTGAATTTAGTGACCTTGAGGACAATTTAAAGGTCACAGCGAAAGTGTAACAGTTTTGCACATGCCAAGCTTGGTGGCCGCGAACTCATGAAAGTATTAATAGATTTTGATCCAATTTTATATCAAGGTGTATTGGCGGGATTCCCCCAACACCAATTGATTGGGAAACTTGTGCTCATTTTAAGTTCACAGTGAAGTGTTTTGCACATGTCTAACTTTTTAGTGTGAAAATACAAGACAGAATTAATATGTTTTGCTTAAAGGTAGTACCAAGATGCGTTGGGAGTATCGTCTAACGCCAGTCGAATTCAGTGACCTTCGGATTATTTTCAAGGTCACAGTGAGTATTCTTGCGATATCTCCAAACCTTATGGATGGAATTTGTTCGCATTTTGTATCAAGGCATCAGATGACAGTTTCGGTAACGTTTACATAATTTCCAGGGTCAGACAGAGGATAATTGCGACATTCAGATATCGACATGTGGCGGGGGTAATAGCTATATGTTTGTGACAAACGCTTTGTCATTACTAATTTTCAAATTTTTGTTAGCATATGGTTTCTATAATTTCATGTTAATTCTACCAGCTGTGAAATTATTCGTGACACGTCTTAAAAAAGCCAGGGATTATTTGTGTATGTTTCAAAAATTAAAGTTAATTGTTTTTCATTATGGAGTTATTTTCGGTGTTGACGCAAGGACATATTTTACGAGCAATAGCTTTCAATAATTTAATGTTATTTCTATTACATTTTGAAGTTCTTCATAGCATATCCCAAAATAACAGGATATTGTTTGTTTACGCTTGCACGTTTCTTTTTCTTCATTTTCGAATTATTTTCAATGTTGACACAATGACATATTTGAAGTTATTTTAATGTTTTAATCATATGTGATTTATTATGATTTATGTTTCGATCATACATTCATATATTGCGTTGTCATAGTTTAACCTGGTTCGTATTATTTTCTTCATCATATTACTACATATTATTGTATTTTTATGAGAGGGAATTTTAAGTTACATTTGCTAAGGATATCATAAATCGCTGGTGCCTGGTTATTCCTTGCCACATAGCAGTCAATCTGTCTACTCATTTGTTGTATTTGATTGATGCATTTAAAATAAAATGTAGAAATGATATTGAATTGCATCATTTGCTTCAAGGAATCGATCAGATGTGCTCGTTATCAAAGTAAAGTCAAAACTTCTTTCCGTAAGGTATACAGTGGAAGTTGACAACTTAATTGCTAGGGTAGACCAAAGAAATCATTTATTTAGTTTCACCGCTCAAAATACAACAAAGAATTCAACGGGTGGCATTAACCTCAAAGAATGATAAAAAAAATGCTTATAACATACGAGGGCAAACATATCGGGGATAATTTGTTTTCATGCCATATGCACCGGGTAAAATATCACTTTGTCATGGTGACATGACATCATGAACAATGTTCTCACGTCACGTTGCTTCTAAGAAGCCGCCTTCTAAATACAACGATGACGGGGAGCCTGCCTTTGTTGGAAAGTAGATTATCGCGTAATTTCCGCAATTAAAGACTTCGGTAATAATTAGAAAATTATATTCGTGACCATAATATGCTAGATTAACGACCTAAATATCGGCATATCCCTTCTCTGGTTTCGAAAATACCAAGATTTAGGCAGTTGTGTTGTAAACTGATATGTATCTTCTATAAAGTCGGCTATATTCAAACCATGAGAAATGTCGTCAAATAATGTCTGATGACAGTTACCAACGTCCCAATAGTGTCCATATATTTTAGATATTTATAACAATAAAGCACAACCTCACTACTTATTTTGATAAATGACAAAGGATTAATCAACCATATTAAAAGGTGTTCAGGCTTGAAGGACGAAGCTCATTAAAATCTATTGCCAATTCCCTTTTAGAGACTGATAAAAGGTTAGAAACTTTCGGTCATAAATGCATGAAATTTTTTATCGTTGTTCATACCCGTTAGGCCTCCCGCCTCTACATGTAGTTGAGATATAACCGTTAGAACCACCACCACCCCCTCTGTCTTAAAGTATGCTAGATATAACCGTTAGAACACACCACACCACTTTTCTGCCCATTTATTCAATTGGGCTAAATCATAGTTGAGAGCTGCTTCTATGGATTTTACATATTTTCCCGCAACACCGATTGATGTGTCATCGGCCAACATTATTGTGATATTTTGTAAATTTCCAGGTAAATCATTGATATATACAAGGAACACAAATTAACCAAGGGCAGACCCTTGAGGAACCCCTGCAGTAACATTTAGTTTTCATAATGTTCCATTAACAGAGACACACTGTCGTCTATCAGGGCCCGGTTGTTCAAAACTCGGTTATCTTTAAACCAGCCGTTAAGTACATTTAACTGACTGTTACCTAATAACAGAGGGTTATCTTGTTGTTCAAAACTCTGTTAACTTTAACAGGCTGTTAACGTGACGTTAAGTTAACACACCTAAGGACCGCCGCTAACATAACTCGCAAATGGCGTTCATGGCTAACACTGCTTTCATGATGCCAGTTCAGCAAAGAAAGGATAGGGTGTATATTATTCTGACGAAAAGTTACATACGAAACTGTAACTATGCACATCATAGGAACTAAAATACATGTCGTACAAATACATGATGCCTACGTTTCATCTGTTAACACTTGTGGAAAGGTTTATATATGCTTTACTACACTAAATGTGTGAATTTCTTCTGTAAATATTATTCAAACAAACACTTTCAAAGAATATAACACGAACACCCTATACCCACGTATGATATGATATTGAACAAGGCTACATGTAGATAATTAAATTAGTTTCATGAAAAAATATCCGAATGATTATATTATGATACTGAAAGTGTAATCGGCGGGATATGGTGATTGTTTATCTTCTTATTCTACCGACCTTCACCTCAGAGAAATTGCCAAATACACTCCCATTTTAAGATAGAGAAGAAGCCAGAAATGCCGATTATTACCGTTGTCGTTCTGCGTGATTTTGCGTCAGTCATGGCGTCACGCAGCACAGAAACTTGACGGTTTCGTGTAACTACATCACATTCCTGTATTGTATCTATTTTTAATTTCCTATTTCTTGCTACTACCTTTTCCATGCAAATGGGTGTCTGAAAATTTGAGAAAATGCTGCACGGTATAAAGTCTAAAATTTTCGTTGTTTACATTTCAAACAGGTGTTGTCTTTCGAGAACAGCAGTTGTTTCCACCCCCAATATCTTTCGTTTCACTTTATCTAGACACTGGGTGTTGGTGCCAAAAAGACCAGTTGTAATTAGATTCTAAAATGTATTAGGAATTCAGTAGGGCTGGGACGAGTAGGAAACAATGGAATCGAGTACCCGCATGTACGTACCCGAATCGGAATCGAGTACCCGGAAATGTAAGAAATACATTCGGGTCAACTTTCTGAATATTCAATCACGATTTGACAGAGATTATTGTAGAAAACTTGAACAGTTGGTAATAAGACATTAAAACTGACCTCAAGCTATTTAATTTACGTCTGTTTAACCAATATAGAGAGTAACACCATTACTTACATTCCTCGTTATAACAACGAACGTTTTGTACCTGCTGCTACTGTAACTTAACTATTCACTGCTCATGCACAGATAAATTAGTCATTAAAACTATGCTCAATTAATCGGACAATACCAATGATGTAAAAACCCGTGAATTTCCGGGTTAGAATATGGATCTTCAGTAACCCATGCTTGTCGTAAGAGGCGACTAACGGGATCGGGTGGTCAGACTCGCTGACTTGGTTGACATATG